CGGAACACTTTCAAAAGTTCAGTTGAAAAGTTAATTTTTTGTAATAAAGTTGTCATTTTGAATCCCCCTCTGTGGGCTGGTAAAGGGTTAAATTTATAAAATTCATAAAAAAAATATACCAAATGATAGGTAAAAATATCAAGCATCTATAAAAAAAAAAATTATATTGATTTGTTCATTTTTGAAAAAGTTATGGCAGTTTTAAGTAAAAAAAAATGAAAAAATTTCGAAAATTAGCGATTTTTAAATTTGTAATTTTTTTGAAGGTTTCCCTCATTTACGGGGAACGAGGGAAATTTTTTCAATTTTTGAAGGTAATGTCTTCGACTAGATACGATTTGTGATCTTTTGACGTATCGTTGAAAACAATCGGTCCAGTGAGTGCTGAAAAAAAGTGGTAACAGACACAAAAAAAAAAAACACATCATAGTAAAACCAATACCTTCTCAGCTTCGCATCGAATCTAAAAACATGATAAAATACCTTCTCAGCTTTACATCGAAGTTAAAAAGAATGAGTTGAAAGTCTTATAATACATACACCACTCAATCTTCAGTAGTCTATAAATTATTGTCTATTAGTCATCGAATCATATACATATTATTCATATGAATCTATTAAACTATTCCGATAAATATATATAAAAATGCATTTATACAAATCAAATGTAATAACTATAAGAAATTCTTTAGTTATGACAAATCATATATTTTAAATAAAATAATATGTAATAACTAAGACAATTGAGTAATAAACAGATAATAGTAAAAGGTCGTGACACTTCTTGCACATATAGATGAATTAAATTTAATATAAAAGGGCCTAAAAAATTTCAATACGACCCACTTCTCCTTCACTTTATGTACTTTCAACATGTTTAAGAATTTTCAACCTTACTTCCAACATCAATACGGTAAATTCACATTTCACACAAGATTTATTAAGTTTAAAGTTAAGTATAATGAGTACATAAATTAAGTAGGGAACCAGAAAAATTAAGTGATCTCTAGAATAAAATATTGTTTAAATAAATAAAGAAAATCAATAACGTTTGTTCGAAGTTAGCTAGCCTAGTTCAATCTTAGAGTGAGTTACCAGTGTGGTCAATTCAAATAAAGCATCTCTAGCGAAGATAGAGAACCCACTTGTGGTTACTATACTACTCGAGGTATTTATTGACACGACTCACAGTCAGCATAAACTTAGATAACTACTGGTACGAGTGGCATTATTGATAATTTATGTGTGACAATTAATCATAATAATTTCTACTTCAAATTATTATTATATTAATAAATTTTCAAACATTGAAACAAACATTTGTCTTTTTTAATATATTACATCTTCTCATAAAACTCATTTTTTTTCTAAGTTACTATAACGTTTAACTATCACTTTCTTGGCTCAACATACAAATTTGAAATTAACATCATTAAATAGAAAATTTAAATACATGTTTTTTTTTTACTTCAGAGGTCAATTATTTAAAGAAAATAAGTCAAACGATTTTTTTTTTATCGTATATTTCATTAAACAAGCTCTAATTTTAAACAATGTAGAATGATATAAGCAATGCCACCCGGCACTGACAGTTATGTCAATTAAAATTGAAGTACTATCTAGTTCTAAAGAAATATTAGTCTGAACTTTTATCAAGTGTGAAGTACTTTGCATCTAAAAAATGCATAGATACAGATGACAACTACCCAAAAATAAATGACATAGAAATATTATTAGAATTACCTCACAAAAAATATGGAAGTGTAATCTTCATAAAACGTAATCTAGTCAGTATATTAACCTCAAGCCTAACCTTACAAATTTGAACCTCCGAAGAAATTTTAAAATAGGATCGAACAATATTATCATAGGGTACTTCAATAGTCATAGTACATGCTGGAGCTATAATAAAACCAACGAGGATAGACAGAATGGTCGGAAGCAGAAAACTTGACATTAATACACGATTCTAAATTTCCACAATTCTTTAACAGTGGAAGTTGAAAGAAAAGGTGCAAACCTGATCTCAATTTTGTAACGTATAGTATGAGACAACAAGTTTCAAAATAAATTGGAAAACTGATTCTAAACACGCAGCATAAATCAGTGTACCTATAATACCATGCTATCGTTAGATCACTACTTGTATCTTTTAAAATAAGACTATTTAATTATAAAAAAGCTATATGGACTGAATTCATGGAAGCCTTTGAAAACAAAATTCAACAAATTGAGGCTATATTTTCAAACTACAAGAAATTTGTTAAGATAGTGAAAAAATATCCAGAAAATGCATTTCTAGAAATACGTAAAGAGACTTGGCAAAGATACTTTCAAATTTTCTAAAAATTACGAACAATTTTTGATAAAGACCCTCTTGCTGCTAATACAATACTACTAGAATTTGATACAGCCGGTAAATGATAATAGAAGACATAAATGGCAATCACTAGTGGAATACATGGATATGACTCGGAATAGCAAAAAAGCACGGAATACCTTAAAACAATTAAACGAGAAAATCTGAAAACCAGATGACAACATAATAATGTAACAGCAAATCAAGTCGCACATATCTTTCTTAAAAATGGTTTACCCGTAAACAAAATGAAAATAATATAAATATCCAAAAAGGGAGATAATTAAATATTACTTTTCAAAATAGACTTTAGTAAAAAAGAAATAATATATGTAATAAAACATATTAAGAAAGAAAAATTAAGAAAACATATTAAGAAATATGTGAAATACAAACAGGAATAATAAGACATTTTAGTAACAACACACACAAATGTATGTTTAAGTTTTTTAATAAGTGTCGTAGTACGGCTAAAATCGCAAAACAATAGCTAAAGGCAAATATAATAACACAACTATAACCTGAAATATCATTAAATGAACTAAAACATTTCAAACTAATATCGCTGCTATTTCATATATGTAAGGTATACGAAAGGTTGATCTTGAACAAAATAGCCAGTTATAAAAGAAAACCTATTTCAAAATCAAGCTGAAGTCTAACCAGAGATTATTAGCAATTTAATATAATTATTAAATGTAAATATAATAGTGATAATATGATAAAAATTACATATGTATGCACTGAACAATGCATTGGTCATAACTAAACTATACAAATTCTATTTGATTAACGCGATTACAACGTAAATACCAATTTATTGTTAACACTACCATTGTTTTGTATGCTAGCAACACATAGACTAAAAAATTGTTTTCAATCTACAAACAAACGTTAACATAATAAATAAAGCTTCAAGCTCTATAATTTTTATACTTGAATGAACATGTTAAAATCAAAATATTCCTAGAATATAAAAAAAAAATTCATTTTTATTTGTTTCTTCGATTTAACCCAAAAGAGTTAGCTTAACAAAAAAATTTATATAAACACATTTTTTAGTAAAAATAATTTGTTAAATACTAAATACTAAATCTTCATTAATATATACACATATTTATGAAGATAACTCCATTTTTTTTAATTTTTATGAGAAATGACCAACTTTATGAAATATTACTCCAGATATTATTTGTAATAAATAATAAGGTCTACAATAGCTCATTATTATTCTTCCGTAAGGTCAAAAACTCAGCAAGAAAAACCAAAAAATTACAATTTTTTATATTTTCCTCTAACTTTCAGCTTAGAGTGCATTGTTAATTATATCATATAAAGCTATATTTTTGTAGAATTTTATAACTTTAAAATTAAGGGAGGGGCACGCTACAGTTTATGCAATATTATTTACATTGACAGACAAATAATTATATCATATGAAGAGATAAAAAACCTTAATGATAAAAACTTTTATGAAAATAAATGAAAGTTAATGAAAAAAAATTTTCAGGTCTGTATACAAGGTATAACTCAGAGTTATTTTATTTGTATTGACTATACAGGGTGATTTTTTTATCATAACCCACTCAATTACTTGCAGAATAATAATAATTTAAACATTTTTTTTTTATTATTATCTTTAGTTACACATTATTCTTGAATTATTAACTATGTAATACTTTTTAAGTTCATCCCTTATGCCTTGGAAGGGGGTCAACTTTGTTTTTTTAAATGGTAACACATATTTTTAATTTAATAAAATGTTTGAGTTTTTAATTTAATAGTAAATGGCATTTGAATTTTTAATATAACTTTATTAGCTTATTAGATATAAACATTTAAAGTTTCAAAATTTTGAGTTAATATACATGTATAATACACATGGGATTGTAAATACAGGTAGCTAATTGGATTTTTATGACATTGCTGTCTCAGTCACGGATTGTTTATTATCAATTATGATTATCAATAGATATACTTTCTGTATTGTCAGTTAGTGTATTTATAAACTCATAACAATGTGCCTTACTACAATTGATAATAACAATGCTGTGTACCTGCTAATATCGATGTTATAAAAAACCAATTAGCTACCTATATTTGTAATCCCTTGTGTATTATACCTGTATATTAATTCAAAAATTTGAAACTTTAAATGATTATATCTAATAAACGAATTAAGTTATATTAAAAATTCAAATGCCATTTACTATTAAATTAAAAATATGTGTTACCATTTAAAAAAACAAAGTTGACCCCCTTCCAAGGCATAAGGGATGAACTTAAAAAGTATTACATAGTTAATAATTCAAGAATAATGTGTAACTAAAGATAATAAAAAAAAAAAATGTTTAAATTATTATTATTCTGCAAGTAATTGAGTGGGTTATGATAAAAAAATCACCCTGTATAAGGATATTATTGTGGACTAATGCATAAATAGCTTTCTTCTTATTTAGTTTCCATTATAAAACATAAAAATTATACAGATAAGTGTCAAATAAGGTATATAAACAAATAGTGACATACAGATTTACCCCTCTAATCCCCTCTCATTTGACCGCTACTAATTGTTTATAATAAATACCATAAGTTATTAAACATAATTAAACACGTAAAATAAAATGCACTAATTTCTTACTTTAAATCCTCTTTCTCTTATTTGTTCAAATAAATCTGTTTCTGCAAATTGAAAACATAAGAGACTTATTTCTTCTTTCAATTGTTTTTCATAATATTTATTCAAGGTCGGTACACTATAAAAAGATAACCTAAAAACAACAATAATTATTATTTGTATAAAAATATTATATTAGACTAGCAGTTCTGAATCTTTTTATATACAAGTATAACACCTACACATATACAAGATCATTTTCCACCTACCCATTAAAGGTAATTTTAAGAATAAAAAAAAATTAATGAAAATCCATTTTGAAGAAGGTAATTAAAATTTTAGCTTCGATGCAAAGCTGAGAAGGTAATAATTTTATTATGATGTGTTTTTTTTTTGTGCCTGTGAACGCTCAATCTCATCTTTCGCTGGACCGATTTTGATTAACAATACGTCAAAAGATCACAAATCGTATCTAGTCGAAGGCATTACCCTCAAAAATTGAAAAAAATTCTCTCGTTCTCCGTAAACTGGGGAAATCTCCCAAAAACTTACAAATTTAAAAATGGGTAATTTAGTAATTACTAGTTATTGTTCACAGAGAATATTAAATCGGTTTAGAATTTAGTACAAACTTACACTGTATATACTTTCTATTGGAGACAGATGATCGGATATTCCATTTTGTTCAAGTATCTACTATTCATTTAACCATATCAGAAAAATTATTTATATTTGATCTAATTTAAGTTATATCATCAATTATTTTTAAAATTATATTTTTAAACGATGATGGTAAATCATCTAAATAAAGTTTGAGGAACATTTTCAAAATTTAAATAAAACTCAAAATAATTAAAATAACAAAAGTAATCAAAAACAATTTTTCCCTCTCAATATAACTAAATCAATATGTTTATTGTAGTATTTTCTATTAATGAATACAAAAAAATTCAAAACAAGCGTCAAATATAATATTGTTATCACTTAACTTGTATAGCCAATAAAAAATTCGTATTTACTATAGGTTTTACTTCGTGTGAGGAATGGTAATATCATAAATCTTAAAAACAGGTGTTTATAAGATAAATTGGTAATATGCACTCAAGATGACTAAAATAAACTTTATAAGTTTTATGAATTAAGCATTTCAATTAATTGTTTAAATGCTTAACTCATAAAGAATTACGTATCTTCAACTAATCGACGAGTACGACGATACAGGTCGCTTCAGATGAGAAAATTAGATATACCTTAATATTTTCATAAGTTCTTTTTGGCTTGTTACTTAAAAAAAAAAATTATACGATTTTTTTATGGCGCCAAACAATATGATAAAAAATTCTATATTTAATTTCGTCGATGAAATTATCTTATTTTTAAAATGATATTTACTTAAAAATAAATATGTTTATTTTATTAGATTTCATTTGTTAACTTATCCTATCCCTACCATCAATAAAAAAAAATTTTAACTTTTAAAACTTTTTTTCTTAATTGGCAATTAATTACATAATTACTTGATTTATACTAATTAGCTTTTATCTCAAAAACTAGAATCAATCTGAAAATTCAGATTCAGAATCAGTGACGAAATTCCATTTAGATTTTACTATTATATTCTTAGGTTTTATTTCAATATTACTTCTATAAATATAAATAATTTATTTTTTATCATTATAATGTTTTTAAGAATTGTCTATGAAGGGTTAGACTCAAAAAAATGAATAATTTTTCGTTAATAATTTTAAAATCTATATTGGAATCAAATAGCAGTTATAGGCGTCGGTGGAGAACTCTCGGAGGATGTATAATTAAACGTGGAGTGAAATAGGGTTGTGTTTTATATCTACTGTTATTTAATATATATTCGGAATTATTTCCCGTAAAGCTCGGGAATGTTTAAATAACATTAGATACGCTGACGATACGGTAATTTTTACAAATAACATTGGGGGGTTGCAAAGAAGCCAAGCGTGTAGTAAATAAGGTGAAGTTTAAGAGGTACGGTGAGTTGTATAATAGGCTAGGAATAAAGGAGAAAGAAATCTATAGACTTGCAAAAGAGAGAAAAGGTCAAAAAATTATCATTATATAAGGCGTATAAGAAGTGTTGATAATAAGGTACTCTCGAGTGATGATGATGTGAAAAAAAGGTGGAAAGAGTATTTTGAAAAATTACTGAATGAGGAATATCCAAAAGAGACATTAGAGGATATCTCGTGGAATGAGGGACTAGAAGATTTAATTAGTGAGAAAGAGATACAAGAGGCTGTGGCATCAATGAAAAAGAATAAAGCCGTAGGACCAAATGAAGTCCCAGTAGAAGTATGAAAAATATTAGGCGGTGTTGGCATAAGGTGGTTGAAGGAACTAACTTTTAAATAAAATTTTATTAGAAGGGAAAATTTCAAATGAATGCAGGAATAGTATTGTGGTGCCGATATTTAAAGATAAAGGTAACATGCAGGAGTGTGGAAATTATAGAGGCATAAAGCTTATGAGTCATAATATGAAAATTTGGGAAAATGTAATACATAAGAGAATAAGAAATGAGACATCGGTATCTAAAAACCAGTTTGCATTTATGCCTGGTAAGTCAACAATGGAGCCATTAATTTTTGTGAGGCAACTAATAGATAAGTTTAGGGAAAAGAAGAAAAAGCTGTGTATAGTATTTATACCATACAGAAAAGGCACATTAATATAAAAGAAGATATGTATGATGGCACTTGTACCAGGGTAAAAAGCGTAGGAGGAATAGAAGAAGGTTTTCAGGTAAGAGTAGGAGTCCATCAAGGTTCTGCTTTAAGCCCTTACTTATTCTCTATAGAAATACAAGGAGAGGTGCCGTAGTGTATGTTGTTCGCTAACGATATAGTGTTAATAGGAGATAATAGGGAGGAAATTAATCAAAGACTAGAGGTATGGAGATCAGTTGGTGTCAAAAAGGTTTTAGAATAAGTAGGAGTAAGACAGAGTATATAGAGTACGAATTTGACAAAGAAGAACATGAGATAAGTGAAATGAGATCAGTGACAATAGACGAGGACGTGATATGAGAGATGGAGAGTTTTAAGTATTTAGGGTCAGTTGTGCAAAAGAGTGGTGGTATTGACGAGGATATAAGACAGGATTAAGTGCGGGTAGTTGAAGTGGAGAGAAGCGTCAGGCGTCTTATGCGATAATACAATTCCAATAAGCCTGAAAGGTAAATTCTACAAAACTGTAGTTAGGCCAACTATGATGAATTGTTTAGAGTGTTGGACGGTTGCTAAGAAAGTGGAGCAGAGATGAGAATGCTAAGATGGATGAGTGGAGTATCTAGAGAAGATGGGATAAGGAACGAGCATATAAGAGGGAATATAGGTGAAGAATCAATCGCGGATAAGATGAACTTATAGAAGAAGAATAATAATGAATTATAACAAAATCTGAGCGTATGAATAATATTTATTAATTTTATAATAATATTCTAGCTCACCCCTTTACAATTATTATTATATAGTATCTCTAACACCTATAAAAACGATTTAACAGTGTACACGGAATTCAACTGTAATATCATTTAATATTATTTATGATAATTAATTTAACTTTATGATTTATATTGACACATGTTAACACACACAAATAAAGTTTAAAAAATCAGTGTACTCCCCTTGTAAGATATTTTAAAATAAAATAAAATACAATACCAAGAATAAAAATAGCATATTTTTGAATATGGTAGCTATTTTTATCATGAAGACAAAATAAATTTCGAAATTTTTATTTTTCATATTAAAGTAATTTATTACAACAAATTATTATGTAAAAAGTTTTGTGTAAAGCCCAACAATTTTTATACACTTTTACCATAAAAGTAATAACTACTTTATAATTTTTTATATATTCTCCGAAAAAATTACAATACTAAATTATTAAATATCAATCTCATACTAATTTAATTGTTATAATAAATATTTATTCATATATTATACTTCTAAATTAAAAAAACTACTAAACAGGAATAATAAAAGAAATAGGAATTCATTTTGCTATTTAATTAATCCACTAACTTCTTAAAATTAAACACTATCTACAGATTTGCCTCGAAGCGTTTCTTATGATAGTGATTTTAATCACATATCGTCTATACTTGTCCCAACTATGTCATGTCCATACTGTGCCGCGACATTATTATTTACGCCTATGAATTTATTTACAAAACTAACCATATGTAGGGTGACTTCTTTTTGAAACGAGATATTTTTAATATATTAGTTGTAAAAAAGTAATTTTACTATTGGTACGCATTGTATTATCAGGATGTTAGTGAATAAACTATAAAAATCATAAAATGTCAATTTTAGAGAAATTAAAATAAATTTTATGATACACAAAGCATTGGCGTAGTCAATAATAGTTTTCTTATTTTATAATAAAAATTGTTTTTGACTAAATTTTCTTTTTTTTTTTTTGCTCAATATTCAAAAATTACAATTTTTAGTAAAAAATTTGGTTGTCGCATGCATTTTAAGGACGAGGGTGGGCTAGACTTTTAGTTTTTTAGAATGTATTTATAAGTTACAAATTGTAACCATAAAATAAACTTACTTTTTTAATTTTTTCATTTTTGCTGGAAGATGCCAAGATAATAATTGTTTATTTAATATGCTTTAAAAATACTTGCAATGGTTATATTTTGACAATATTAAGCAAATAATCAACAAAAACTTTCAGACCGGCAAATAGTCGTAGTCACTGATAGCTGTCGACAATAAAGACTACGAAACATAAATTGACTTTGAGCCTTTATTATCAACAGTCTATCGGAATCTTCATTATGAAGGTTTAATTTTTATGTTTTAAGACGCAAAAGGGTGAGCAATGATTACCAACGAAATAATGTGAAATATCACATTTATTTTTCCTCATAGACAAAATATAATCGTATGATTATCAGTGTTGCTAATATTGTAATCATTTTATGTTGTGTACATTTATAATTATTTTTACTTTAAAATTAAAGTATGTTCAATCTAAACAGATTAACTACTAGTTTAATATTTTAAAATAATTTTCATAAGTTACATAAGTTAATATTTTTATAATTTATTAATAAATGTAATTTTTAAAATTAATTCTCATTATCATTTACACCAATAAATATATAGAGTACACCAAAAAAAAATATTGCAATTAATATTAGATAAAGGTAAATAAATAAATATTTATTCAACTTTATATTTTGATCGTGTCAAGTGGAAGTTTAGGATAAGGGTGGCCGTTCCCAAGTAGTTGGAATAATAGCTAGGAAAAAGAAGGTTTAACTTTATTTTTTTGATTATAATTATTTCATTGATCTATCATTAAATTATTATTTACTAATATAATCTCTATTTAGGGACATTTGTACTAAGTATAAGGGGAAAATTTTTTTTAAAAGGCGGTAATTTGGGTGTTTATTTAGAATTTTGTAAATGGCAAATGTAGTAATTTTATATAAATTAACGGTAAATTAATAGTTTTACATTGACAACACCGAACTTACACTCGTAGAGAAGTTTGAAGGCTATATCGTATACAATTAATTAAAACAATTTTAATTTAAGACGTACATAATTTAAAAAAATCCATTACACCTAAAATTTAAAGGAGTTTATTGGCTATAATAATTGTATAAAACAATAATAAAATTAATTATAATTTTTCTTTTTTGTGGTTTTGCTTGTTATTAATGTAAAATATACTGCACACAGTCAATTATACATATTATTGCATTTTCAAACTTGCAACCTTATGAGCAGTCATGAAAAATTGGAATGTGGTTTTCACTTAAATTCATAAGTGTAAGTTATGCTACGCTAAGTAGCTTGAAAATTTTTCTGTGGTTTATTATGGTTCCCTATTCTATTTCATGAATTTGAATAAAGGACCTGACGGGAAACTTATCCACCACATTGCATATTTACACCGATAAAAATAATTTATTTGTGTGAGCTATGAATGCTTTTTGTTGCAGAAGGAATAAAATAACAATACTTTAACTACATAAATAGTTCTTTAAACAAAATGATTTTTCTCATAAAAATTATAAATTTTAGTAATTTCTGAGAAAATTAGCAACTTATCCAAAGTCAATCATTTAAAAAGATAAAGGAATGCTATTGAATGCGACATGAGGACAACTGATGTTAGCGTAAATGATGTGGGAGATCGTGTCAAGTGAAAGTTTAGGATAAGGGTGGTCGACCCCAAGTAGTTGGGATTAAGGCGAGGAAGAAAAATGTAAATGCAATACAACTTTTGAAAATGATATAGTGCACCAATTATTTTAGTATCTCTAAATAAGCTATTCATTTTAATATTTCTCATAAAATTGTATTTTTGAGAATTAAAACTTTGAAATACTATATAAAAATAGAGGAAATTTTAATAAAAAATGTTCATAGGTATTAAAAAAAAAAAATAGTTCAATAGATTTTATATATATATATATAACAAGCATATTCAAAATAAATTTAATTTAAATGCATACTAGTTTAAGATAAATTTAATGACTAGTTCCAAAAAATCTAACTATCAAAATAAATAATTTCACCCACCATTTCTGCTGTAGATTGATGAGAATTTCTGAAAATAATGGCTTATGAAAACATGAAAAAAACTTACTAAAATACACATAATATAAAGATTACAAAATAAGATTGTAAAAAATATTCATAATTGTATTTTTATAAAAATTAATTTATTTAAAAAAAAATACGAACACATATTTATTCCAAATTGAATATACTAAATTTTAATATAGTACACTTTAAAAATACACATTACAAAATAATATTGACAAGCTGAAGTAAGTTATTTGCAGCAAGGTTTTGATAGGAAGACAAGATGTCAAATATAGTAAAAATAAAAATATCAAAATTACAGTAATAATTTTAAGTTTCTTATATAAGTAATATGGCAAAAATTTACAAAGATAAATAAATACATCTGAAAAAAGTTATATATACTATCAATAAAATAAGTCTACATTTTTCATTATTAAGTCTTGTAGAAATTAAAAGTAAAACTTAAATAAATTTATAGTTTTTAATGAACATTTACACAGAATTATGTGTAATAATAATAAATAAATTATGTGATTTAATAATCAAATGACTATTTTCACAATTATCTAGTATGTTCTAGTTTAATAATCATAGTAACTATCTTCTACCCTGTGTTTTTCAATGTTTCCACTTAATGTAGGATCAGGTCGTCTCCTTTTGAAGAAACCTAATTTCCATAATAAAAATGTTAACAATAATAATAAAAGAATACCAGCCAATATTGCTAAAATAATTATCCAAAGTGGAATAGGCTCATTCTCCTGTTGTAATAAATCCACCTTAGCAGTAGTTTCCACCTATTAAATAAATATTAGCATTAAATTAAAAAATTATAATATTCTAAACAATAAAATGTATAAAACCTCAGCTTCATCGTCCAAATAGTTTAGTTGCATTAGCATTTCATTAGGAACATGAATTTTGGCTCTAGAAACTATTTGAACTGAATGGACTTTGGAATAATCTCTTAATAATGTAGAATTCCATAACCTAAAAAATATTTTAACAGTAGGAATTATATTTTAAAATGAAAAATAAAATAATCAGATATTAATTGTTTTCAAAGGTTATAACTTTTTTATTCTCTATTATGATATATTGAAATTGTATAAAACCAACCTAGCTTTTATAAAAATAGTAGCTTCTTGATTTTTTTCTAAGTTATTTAGCATGCAACGAAATTTGAAACATTGAGCATTCCCAAGAAGACAATCCTTAAAAATAAATGTATTATAATGCTTGGTAAATTATCTTTTATTGCCTAATAATTACCATTTTTACAATTTCTTTGGGTTTCCCATTATCATTAATATATGTTTCAGCACCTAGAATATAATTTTCTTCCCTGCGAATTCTATTTTGATAGAAACCAGTGCTATTTTTTGTTTCACTTGTTACTGTTTTTGAATTCAACAAATTATTTAGACTATTATCTTTGCGGAAGTTTTCTAGTGGAATTTCTTGGACTCCTGGACGTACAATTAAATTTAATGGGTTGACTTGCCCAGATGCTAAAATGCATTCACCACCTCCTAAGCCTATTAAACAATTAAAATATAAAACTTTATTAGTTAAATTTAGGGTTGGGTTCTTCGATGAATTAAAATCTTTCACGGTCAATGTACAAAATTTTGATGGGTCAATTAGTCACATTAAAGTTGAGTTATAATTTATTGAATTTTAATAGTAAACTGAGTTAAGTTACTACGTACTTTAAATAGTAATAATAACTTTTTAACCTAACTTAGGTAAGATAATGGACATTTTTACTTGTTAATATAAAAGGTAATGTTTTTTATTTGAAAGAAATAATATATCTTATAGTTTTTATTGTATAAAATTATATACAATAAAAACTACAAGAATTTTTTTTTTTTTTTAAGTTATCTAGTTAAATTAAGATATTTAACTAACTGAACTTCCAAATTTTTAACGTGCTAGTTCCTAGCACTGGAAAAAATAAAACAAATATTTTCATGTTATAATGACTTCTTCTTTTTCCTTGCCTTAATCCAAAATACTTGGGGTCAACCAAATTAATACATGGGTCATGTAATAATGACTAAATGTACAAAAATAATGTTGTATAATAAAATTTTAGTGTAGATATTTTATTTGTACTAGTAAAAATCATTCCAATTGATTGACTAGTCTAAATACCTCAGTTAAATTAAATAATAACATTGATTTAAATTCTTACTTTCAATGTATGGTCTTTCATCAAGATATAGTAGCCATTTTCCTGATGAATGGCTGGCGATTTGGTAAGGCCATTCAATACGAACCTCCAAATTAGACACTTTCCAGGGGCCAGAATTAAATACTTGATATGTATGTAGTACTCTCAAACCCACTTCATCAAAATATTTCACAATTAAGTCCTCTTTTATTTGACCACCATAAAATACTTGTTCAGGTCGAGCCAATCTAAAGACAATATATTTACATTAATTTTTCTGAAGCATTAAACAAATTTCGATATAACTTTTAATTTACTTCAATATTTAGATAATATAAGGTCTGTTTAAAAAATACCAGGATTTTATTTTTAATAATTACAAAAATGAAGTGACACACTATTTAAAGACATCTCCTTTAACACACTTTGTATGATATTCAGTCGTCTTAGTAATCTTGCAATTTTTCAAAAGTCTTTTGGAACTATTCAAATGTTAGAGCTTTAAGTCTGTTGCCATATTAGTTTTAATTTCCTTCTTTTTTTTTCTACGGTTGACTTATTGCTGGTCGCTCTGGAACTACAGTCAGGCATTACTTCAAAATAGCCAATGTATAACGAAGCCAAATTAATCAAGAGCTGATATACAATGTGGTGTAGCCTGCTCCCGTTATCTCAGAGTAGGATCCGTTGCCCGGGTTGCACCACATGGAAGTGGAGTTAGGACTTTGTGAGGGTCGGCAGAATAACTCACAAACATAAAACAGATGCACACACACGTAAAAACAAAATCCTAAGGCGCTAGCCTATACCAACGCCTCAGATCCTCCTGTACCGGCCGGCGTGACTGCCTCTATCTCTTGTTTTAGTTTTCTGTACATCTTAAAACCGTTGTCCTTTAAATGTAGATTTTAGTCTTGGTAAAAGAAAAATATCATATGGGACCAGATCAGAAAAATAGGGAAGTGCAGGACTATAGGTGTGTTTTATCAACCAAAAATTCACGAATCAAAAAACTAGTGTTGTATGTGCTGGTGCATTGTCGTGGTGAAGAAACCAAGTTTTATTTTGCCATTTTTCTGGAAACGTTTAGCGAAATTTCTCTTGCAAACGTAATAATACATCTTTATGAAATATCTGATTAACTGTTTTGGGTCCATGGGACACAAATTCATAATAAAAAATACCTTCAATATATAAAAAAAAAAAAAAAAACTAACAACATTATCTTAACATTTGATCTTCCAAAACGTGGATTATCTTCAGTTGATCATCTTTGAAACATTTAAAAACCACTTAAAAGTGATGAAACAACTTAATGAATCTTCCTCAAAAGCAGTTTTAATCATTGCGTATATTTCCGTTGAATTTTTACCAAGTTTTCTACAAAACTTGATACACACACATTTTTTGTTAATTTCAGATATGTTGACAATGCCTTACAAAGCAAACTGACTGAAATTAATGACGTGTAATACTAAACTGAGATAAGATAGCAACCTCAAGTTTTGTTTAAAATATTCACTTATATGTTGGAATAAGTCTATTTAAAATTTAAACCGTTTTCATGTATAGATTAGCCATAATAGTATCTGTCCTGGCACTTTTTGAACAGACTTCATATACAAGTGAGTCAGAAAGATATGACAAACCCAATAATCACTTAAAAGAAATTTTTTTTTTTTATAAATAATTATTACGTTCTTAGACTATGTTTAAAAAATATTTTTTTTTATTTATCACTATTAATAAGAAAAAATATAAAAAACTAAAATTTTATTATTATATATATTTTTTTAATTTTGAAATGGGCATTTTTTTTATAATTTCAAAAAAATTTAATGGATTCATTGAGTTATAAGCATATTATACATAAAGTAGGTGTGTATCTTGGGTGGGTATGGTCTGTACCGGTTTAAGTATACTCTACATTAATATCATACCCACTCATTTATTAAAATGCTTGTAACCAAGTACTTGTCTTGAAATTGTTATCAACCTTTTAAAATATTTTTTAATTTCAAAATGGTTGGTTATTTTGAAATTAAAAATAAAGTTTTTTATTGTTACTGCTGATAAATAATAAAATATATGCATTGAACGCTTTTTAAACTAACATTTAAAAACATTTTCAACAAAATGATAATTGGATCAAAAGTTATGGGAATTATCATATCTTCATAATCGACCCTGAATAGCTCAAAAAAATATTATTTTTATCATATATGATTTTTTTTAAATGTCAAATAATATTTTTTTTTATTTGATTATTTAATTATACTTACCCTTTTAAAGTTAATTCTGCTTTTTTTATCACATTAGCACGTAAATTAAGTGGACTTTGAGGATCATCTTCATGTGATGTTGAATTAGAAAACACAGTAAACTCCAACTGTTTTACAGAATCATCTAATTGTTTAGGGTCAAACCTCAACTGAATGTTAGAAATAGATGATTTCTTAAATGGATTACCCAAAGCACAAACAACCAAAGTTTTATTAAATGGATTACAATCAATTTGTTTTGTCTATAAAAAATTTGAATAATAAAATATGTAAGTAATTATAGTTATTCATTTCATTTATTTTTATAGAGCTCACTTCATCCGTTTTTACAGATCCGATGTAACTGAATGAGTAAGGATGTGATACAAATAATCTACATTCGTAAGCAGATTCTCCAATATTATATACTGTTGTGTTTAATAGAACTTCTTGGTGTTGGCCCATTACTAAGTCATACTCATTAACTGTACAAAAAAAAAAAGTTACATTCAATCTTTTTTAGTAAAATTTTTTACTATTTACCTGTAGGTGTTAATGGTAACACCATTTGAGAATCTACATGAAGTTGACTTTCACATCTATCATTATTACCACAATCTTTATGAAATGTAGCTATAAACGTTTTTTCAGCTTGATTTTGATTCAGTACAGGAAAATCAGCTAAAGATGGTACTGGATCACCTGGTTTTAAAGTAGGAGGATTATTTTGAACTAACCAATATGAGATGCGGAATGCAATTGGAGATTGGATATCAAGAGTATTTTCCTACGACAAAAAAAAATGTTTAAAAATAAATAAATAGTTTAACAATTATTAAAATACCTTTAAATATGCAGTATGTTGTTGGCAATTTCTCTTTTTATTGTGGTGTAAATAAACTGTATTTTCAACAGTATTTGGTTTTAATGTATCATCAGAACCAAACCAAATTCTCGAAAATTTCCGACCTAAAAAGGTTTCTGCTTCTAATCTGTATTGCAATTGAGCACCCCATTCACCACCAGATCCAGTCTTAACAACAGATTCCAAGAAGCAACACGTTTCAAACGTAAAACTATAATAGAATAAAATGATTATGTTATTTATAAAATTTTATAACCAATTAATTTTTACCAAGTATAAGATGATGATTTATTGAAGGGACATCCATATTTTGTTGAATCAATGTTTTGAAGATTTTCTATTGGTGTAATACTTGTTGTTATATCAACAATTGGTCGAGCTCTAATTAATACAGCTACATCACTTTCATATGCACCAGCAATTAAGTCAGGATAGTCATTTTGATCCAAATCTATTCCATTAGTACTCAAAGAGTATCCCAAAGTTTTAATTTTTATATTGCTGACTTGTAAGTTTTCAGCCTTTATTACTTGAGAAGGTTCTGTAACTATACCTTGAGCAGATCCTAGATAAATATATATAGCACCATTCCCTTCATAAGGAGCGCCAACAGCTATATCGTCATAGCCATCTTTATTTAAGTCGCCTAAATTACCAATAGCAAATCCAAATCTAAAAATCATTAATTATTATAAAAGATTAATAAAATCATTTTTAATGGAAATTTTAATAAAAATATTAATTTTTTACAAACACACCTTGATTCTGGTTTTCCAACTAGTTTTATTGGTGGATTACAAGTAAAGCAGTGGTTTTCATTATTCATATAAATGTAAACCGCACCACCAGTGTCTTTTGTGAAATAAAATGGAGCACCAACTATTAAATCTGGTTCTCTATTGCAAATAACAGCAATAATTAGTAGTCATTCACAAACAAGAAAATAATGTAATACAGAGAAACCTCCTTCTAATAGACTCTCTATTAAATTTAAAAATTCTATGGTTCTGAATTTTTTTTAATAGATTAAAATTAACCTCTAATAAATAAAAAGTTTGGCTCACAGTGTTTCCTTTGAAAGGAGGTTTCACTGTATAATTTGTCAACACACTTGTCTCCATTAAGATCAGCAGTTGCTAACTCATAGCCAAAACTAGATGCAAATTGTTCGCCACTTATAACTAATTTTACATCCATAGGATTCACAGAAGGTCTTAATCGAGTAAATAGCACTACTTGTCCCGTTCCATTGGCACGTGGTGCTCCAGCAGCATATATCATTCTTTGTTGTCCCAAAAAGAATCCAGCAGTTACAGACATACCTGAATAATATTTATTATTAATAAAATCAGAAATCTAAAATAATTTTGTATAAGATTATCACCTAAATAGCTGTCTTTATCAATTGGGGCAGATTTTTCAGATAGAGGACTGAAATAATATGTTTTATCTCTGTGCAAAAAATCATCAGAGATACTGACCATGAATAGTGTACCTCTCCAAATAGTTGTTCCTGGAGAACCAATAACAATAGTATCGTCTTCTAACAATATGCCGCTTGTACCAGCTTGACAATATCCAAACTGCTCATGGCCACTGTTGAGTTTTCAAATATGAATAACATCAATTTTTTAGCAATAAAAAAAATTGTTTTATTTATTTTTTGTCATACTTAGTTGTTGGTCGACCCTTACATGGTTCCCAACAGTTATCAAAATCTAAATTCTGAGTCAGTGTATAACAAAGACCTTGTCCCCATTGATAGCCAGGACCACGTGTGATGTATCGATGGGCGCAAACCTTTAATAAAAATTTAAATGAAATAAAATATAATTTAACAAAATGAGAATAAATGTTATATATTATTAAAATCATTTTTCTTATTAAGCAAAATTAGTAATTATTTTAAAAATATAGTCCGGATTTTTTTTTAAATACGAAACCATAATTCAACAAAATTAATATTTTATTTTCTTATATTGACATACAATAAATTATCTTTAATTTATATCTAAATGATTGAGAAATATATATAAATACCATGACTTTACCACCACGACCTTGACTGCGGACTGTAACTCCTAACCATTGTCCGTCTTTGATTTCTTCCGCCAAAGGCGGTGCCAAGTGTTTGGAATCGATTGCTGAAGACAAAATAAAAATTTAAAAATATATAATTCTACAAATAATTTGCATGCTATAATGATTAATGCATGTTTATTTCATGATCAAAGCATATGTTTAAAAATGTCTAATAATTAAAAAAATTGCACAAACACAATAATAACATGACTTAAAAACCTTTTAACTTTATTTAATGCGAGTTAACCGTATATTTCTGCTACCTTAAAAAATAATACCCAATACTTTCCCCATTAGCGTTGTTTAACAGTTAAACGACAATTCCCAATTATTAGTTTTATAAAGTCAATTGACAATTAATCAATTATCCTTGAAATACGTCACAAACCCATTAAGTATTCATGCAATCCAGTTATACTTTTTTACAATTTATATTTTACGATCTCTTGAAGATGGATCTTGTGGTAACAGCAATACGGAACAGTCTAACCTAAACGAATTTCGTTATCGCTGCACCGAAACACAACATGTTACCCAATAAATTATACTCCTCAATAATTTTACTAGAGTTAAACGTTTATAAAACAAACAACTATTAACTAGTAAAATAGAACGATATATTAAACTTTTTTAAATAACTCGTGTTTTCATAATTACATATGTATGCATAGAAAATGAATGATATTTATTATCAATTTCGCCCATGCAATATGTCTAATTGTCCATGCAACCACGACCTTATTGTGTGCACATACAATTGTATAAATAAAAAAGCAAAATGAAAGTTGATTAGATGTACAACCAATATCATTGTTATTGTACAATATCTATTAATTCAAATCAAATTAGCATAATGTAAATAACAATAACTCATTGATGCTTACGTTATGCTACTTTACAAATAACCGGTCAAAAATACTCTGCATGGTGACCGTACACATGAATGAATTAAAATTGGAACAGACTTAATCGAATAATACTAACAATAATTGCAATAAATCATACTAAAGTGAGCTTTCTCAAACCGAATACCGATGACGGTAGTGTATATTTAACAGATTTGAGTGATGACAGTAGTAGATATTTGAATGTTCGACTTTATCAGAGATACTTTTTATAGCGGAGATAAATGTCGTGGTTCATGAAAGGGAAAGGTGCGACATTATACTCAAACCGTGTTAAACATTTTCGAAACCTGAACCTACGCAACAAAAGGAAAATTGTTTATTTAAACAAAAAATTTATGATCCTTGAATTAAAGCTCCACGATGATCGGTGGCATCATTAGTGAACGCGATAAAACGATAATCCTTGAGAAAAATTAATGAATCACATCACAACTAAAAAATGTTATGAGCCACACCTAATTGTTTGCGATTAGTTTAAGACAAAGAAATTTAAGTGGTAACTGAAGAACACCATTCGTCATATTTCCTTAAACAATTTTTCACGTATCACGTACTAAAAATATTCACAATTCACCTCAGCGAGTGTTTGACGGACATCGAGTTTTGAGTTATCTGTTATTTCGTACATATTGTAGTTTAAGGAATATGACTTACATTGTTATTAATGTACAGAAACGGTTATATTTTAAAAGACTATTAAACAATTAAAAACTTAACGACAACCGTCGTTGTACCAGAGAAGTTTAACTACAACACATGGCGTAACTATCATAAAAAGATACTAAATAATAATAATTTCTATTTAATAGTTTCCAAGCTGTTAAAACGTTACTACTTTTTCATAAAATTGAAAATACCAAGGACCGATTCTTCAAACAATAATAAATTATAACATGTTCCATAAATGAATTTATCACAAGATGATATCTAATGTAGTGTACTCTTAAAAAATAAAATAAATTTAATGAAGGAAAATCAATTGATTAGCCTACTAAATAAAACCTAGTAATAATAAGTTATAATACTCATGAGCTATAAATAAATATATACATAAATAAATAGAAACTTATTTTTTAGATAATTTGCACGAAGATTTTTTTAAGCGACGAATGTTATTTATTATGCTAACATTTAATGCGGCCGGTCAAACCGGCTGTTGGCGTGGCGACTCTTACCCACTTCCTCTCACTGTGCTGACTTCGTATAGCTACAGCGTATACTAAAACAGGTATACGCTTAAAGTGAGGTAAATGTAAGTAAAGGTAAAGTTTTAAATAAAAGCTTAGATAAATGTGAGATATAATTTTTTTTGTCCAGATTTTTGGTTTTATTTTTTTTTCTAGGCGTATTTTAATTTTTTAAATGTATTTTACCTAAATGTTAGATAATAACTATCATAACTTGATATTATATATTTTATTAAAATAATTCAAAGAAAAGGATTAATTATTGGAATGGCAAAAATATGGCAGTTATATGAAATAAAAATTTATTTTGTTAATGTTTTAGGAAGAATAACTTTTATTTTAGATAAGTGAAAGTTAAGTCGGTTAATAGTAAAAAATCGAGTCCTAAAATTAAAAATTTTTGTCATTTTGTTTTGAAAATTAATTGAACATTAAAAAAAAATTGCCTAATTTGATTGGAGTTAACTTTTTTTTTTACAAAAAAAGTCATTATATTACAATAAACCAGCTTTTTATTTAAATAATGCAAATTTAATATTAAAGTTAAAAATAATATTAGTGAAATTATTTACCATGAATAATCAGATTTGTTGATTTTTTTATGAGAATTGGTTGTCTTATATAGATTGCTATTCAACTATAATTTAATTATTGTAAATTACAACATATATTCAGTATCAAATAAAGTATAAAATGTAAATTTTAAACAGTCATACAAACTAAAACAATAAATTCTGCTAAAAATAGAACGAAAAAGAATAACAACAATAATGTAGCAAAAGTAGTGTTCGAATAATGTGAACATACCGAAATAATTAGCAGCACACATTTGATAAATTGGATCTATAAACAACACTAATGAGCGATAAATAACAAATAGGAAAATAAGAAAGCCCGAAAGGTCTATTAATAGCAATAATTTTAGTTTATTTGTTGAGCGAAAAGTTCAAACAACCGTTTTCAGCAGGTGGAGAAAAAATATTTCGAAAACGACGACAAATTCATTAATAAATTTTAATTCGATGGACGGATTTTGAGAAAACGAATATTGCAGTCAATCGAGCCAAGTAGTAAATGCAAATAAAAGATAAGTTAATGGGCAAAAGGCAACGTGGCAATAATAAGCGTTAAGAACGTTTTTAACGCTCTGTCTTTTTCAGTTTTATATACTTATAAAAGCAACGTTGCCAGTTTGTTATAAACTTATTGCTATATTGCGGGCCACGAGAGAACGCAACTGAGTGACTATTTGGTAAGATAGGCCCCTTCTATCTTACCATTTGGCTGACGAGTTGCGTTTTCTTGCAGTATATTTACAGTGCCAAACATCTATGATACTTTAATTCTACCGGTTACATGAATTTGTCGCTCTTACTACACCCAAAGAAAAACCTCAATCAATTTTGATAGAGAAATATTATCAAGGGTTTATGATAATGTTTTATTAATACGAACAAAATAATTATTCTTATAAATAATTATTGTTCAAGACAAGAAAAAAAATGATCATATTGATAAATATATCATAGATTCAATAGTAATGATATATTTATCAAATTGAACAATGAATTTATTATATAGATCGAGGTTTTTCTCTGGGTGTACTTAACTTGATCGATTTCAGAATATACACATTCTAAAGTATTTGTCCATCGAATTAAAAATAATGAATTTGTCGTCAATTTGTTGGGTAGTTTTCAATTTATTTCTTTAGTATATTAGTGTTGATCGGGTATGAATATTTTTATCGTGAAATTTTAATAAAATTTTAGGAAATTCTTGATATGCGACTATTCATCACATAACTTTGGAATTGGTCTCCAAGTAAGATAAAATATTATTTAATTTTTTTTATGAATAGTCTTATAACATTTTAAACGTTACTGATGTACACTATTGCAATATTAAGATCGAACAAAATAATTTTCTGGCTTTCTACCGTATTGTTATCTGATATACATGAAAACTAATTTTATGACCTAAAAACACATAAAGTAATAAACAACGAAAATAGCTTCCTTTCACAAGTCCTATAAAATAGTATTTGACTAAATTATACATAATTAATTTTTTTGGAAAAATAAATCCACATTGGAATAAATGTTTAAAATATTAACTATACCTAAGAAATATTACAAGCATACTACACTAATACTTGAATAGTTATTTATCATAAACCAAGATTAATATTTTTAAATAATTCATCTATCAGTAAACAAGTTTTTCTACTTATTCTATTGATTTCTCGACCTCCTCCTAAGAGATAAATATTTGTTTGATACAATATACGAATTTAAAGATATACAATAAATATGAATATGTTCATGGCTTAGTGGTTGGAAATGTGCGTTATTTTATTTACGCATTTATTAATGTAATTACCATTATTTATCATTAAAGAAACTGTTATGTAATATTTCTAAAGCAATATTCATGCCAATCTTGATTACATTGAAATTTATTCAATACATTTAGGAACCAGGAAAATAATCGCTTAGAAATGCAATTTAATAATTTTTACATTACTCGGAAATTATCAACTTTTTTGGTGTATTGAATAATGTTACAAATGATCAGTTAATGTGATTTTTTAAGTAAAAATCAGATATTTGACAAGTTAAAAATATTTTAATTCAAATTATAAAGAATACGGGGAAACTATGATAGATTCTACAAAAAGACTTGATCAAATAAATGGTTGTTGTAATAAAATATAATACCAATAGAGACGGTCACACTAAAATGTTTTTGGGAATCCTATACTGTCATGATAGGAATTTAAATACGTTCATTATAATTATCAATCGCACATCCAATAAGGAAAATAACGATAATTGTTATTCTCTAAACTTGAGAACCAGTATAGTTTACACCCATGCGCACTTACATGTGACCATCTGTACAATCTCAAAATGGTATTGAATAAAGCAGACGTTGTCGATAATTACTATCGAAAGAGAGACCTCTAAACAAAACTATAAATAAATCAAAAATAAAATTAGTACTCTAAACAAACGGTTTATTTTTACACGGTCCACACGTATATAATGCACAAATATTTTTGTACCCAACGTTGAAATAAACAATATTTCACATTGCCCTCATTTCTCACTTAAATCATAAGTGATCATTATTCAACACCCGTATACAAGCACACCCCCTACATTCGCTTAATTAAAATTAACTGATTTTTATTACTAGAAAAACGCCTTGACAATTAAATCTGTGTATGTGTGCCATTGACCTTATAATAGATGCACTTTGAGAAACGCCACTCGCTAGTATTTCTAAACTTTTCTAAAAATAGCGCAGGAGACTCTATTCGACGTTTAGAATAATAATTTATGTATTGGTACTTGTAGATTTCCTTGGTCGTAAGAATATCTTAATATTGAGCGTCAATTAAATCGCTAGATAAATTGCAAAGTGAATAATTCCGATGATAAATTAAGTTAATGACGAATACAAATCTTAAAAAAACAGTACTCTGTTAAACTAATGAAAATTTGATTATAAATACGTGCGTTTTAATCATGTAATTAAAAATAGTGGTTTTATTTTACATCTTTAGTAAAATGTAGTTAATTTTCAACTACAATTGTGCTAAAATTTAATACCTACAAAAATTGAGATAACAATAGATTGAAAATTTAATATGATGAATATTTGAAGTATACTCATATTATCATTGCTGATTAAATTCGCCAACAACAGAATTAGTTTATTATGTACGAGGATAAAACTAGAGTGATAAACAATTGTAAAAATACTAGAACTATTTTCTGTTAGACTTAATAAATGTACTAATACATCACAAATACGACGTAGGAAGTCCACCTGATGTAAAGAATACAGTTAAACGCTTTGGGCGTTCATTATAGATATGACTGTTTTTTAAGATGTATCATACGTTATACCACATACCGCGAATGCTGACTTTGAACAATTAGTGTCGGTTTGTCGTGTTCAAATGTATTGTAGTTGCGCACACATGGCACATAGTGAAAAATGAACACAAATCTATACGCGCTTTCTCGTTACTTTTGATTACTACAAACAAAATCCTGACATTATATTATGTTTAAGTCACAACCGCACGGACGCGTTTTTTTTCAAATGGCGCGGAATGCTACTTTAGTCAGCGTTTAATTTTGATAAATGCGTTTTTGACATACAAGGCTAACTCGTGAACAAAAAAAATAAAATAAACAGCAATCATTAAAATTAACGATTCAACGTGCAAACTAACCCTACAGTATTTGCTAATCAAACGTGCATTTATTTTTTCAGACAACATGCTATATAAAACTAGCAGATGCATTTTTCATTATTTTTTTTTATCAATTAATAACACATAACCGATATATGCACTTTGTGTTCTTAAGGAATAGTAACATGCAATTGGACATTTAAACAAAATTATTATTTCAATTTAATTGTTAAAAAAGGCGTTGTGCCTTCTAAATAAAAAAGCTAGTGCGATGGCGGTCTGAATAATACTCAGAAGTTTTATCTGGACTAGAATCGAACTAACAACCACTGAAAGTGTTGAAACTAAGTGGTGGATCTAAATCCCAGCCAATAATATTAATACACATAGGCGTACATTAAATTATTGGTTACGAGACTTGCATGGTGTAACTAAAGTGTTCATTTCGATTATGACATTTAGAGTCAAAAAGTGATATATAGTTATTTTGTAATGTTTTCTACCATGCATCGTTGATAACCACAATACTAAATAAATAAATACCATAAGTAATGATTGTAAATACTCTATTTATTTTCGTTTCATTGTACTTTATTCGATTGACACTATTAAATTATTTGTATGCACAAATTAAACTACAAGTTAGGGGAGAAAACGCCCACGTGAAATATTATATAGTTATAATATCGGAACAGATGTTGCTGACACGCTATGAATGTACTGTATATACACATAATTTATTTCTGTACCGCGTTTAAAGGGTAATATCAATATTTTAATGTTACTTAAAATGATTTTTTACGATATATACGAACAAGGAAACCTAAAAAAACCGGTCGTCATAAAATTATCAAAAATGTATTAATATTAATTTTCATGGAATATTTAAAAATCTAATACTTCATAACAACAAACGACTGTTATTATTGTTTCTTATTTTTTGGAAATAAAATCTTATTTCCTGAAGGTAATAAGATACCGACGCTGTATCAAGAATATAAAATAAAGGCGTTTTTGTTAGTTTACACATTATATTAAAAGAAAATGTGAAATTACCGGTATTTTCTAAAAAATACACATACAAGTCTCTCACGCATATTATCAGTTAACGACGACATTATCTCATGTGGGCGTATAAGTAACATAATATTGACCTTAGGGTTCATCATGGTTTATTCAATGTTGCGTTCTATGTAATATTATTCAACAGTTGGATATATGTCTCTCAAGTGTTTATTTCATTTAAACACGAGACTAGTTCATAAAAAAGATCTGATAGCATGTGTGTATGTAATATTTACACACGCAATATTTTTACACTAGTCATGCCAGCCAAATATTTTAAAATACTGCAAAAAACTAATGGGTCAAAAATAGATAAGTGTCTGTATCATATGAAAATTATTATTTTATAAAACAATGAACGAAGTTTGCGCTAAAATAATTACTATGAAAAATAATTTCAAATAAAACAAAGTCATAATGAAAAATTACGGTTCTCATAAAATTTGAATTAATGTAATATGTCGTTATTTTACGACTACCATAATTACAATATAATAATTAAATATATTTTAGGAGGAAAATAATTTTATGAAATAATAAATTAAAAGGCGAATTTGAATATTTATGAGGTATAGTTTAGGAAGTTCTTCTTCGTTATAATAATTTATAGTCTCTCTTTAAATCGGGTCTGGAATTATAAATATTTATACATTTTTTTGAGCCACTTTGAAGGGTTCTATGTTTTTTGTAGAACTTTGTGGTAAGACTATAACAGCATGGCAATAATTTTTGCTTTTGTAGAGATAAACCCCCTGAACCCTCTCGACTATAATCTAGGTAACAGTACACAATTAAGTTTCAAAGTCGATTAATAAAAATTTGTACTAGTTAATGGTGTGTTATTCATAACTTGATAAAAATTATAAATCCAATTATTTTACTAGATATTTTATTAGTTATTAAGTAATGCTTAATTAATATTTTTTACGACTTTGAAACCAATTAAGAATCATAGTGGCCTCTCCCGAAGAAAAGTTCTTAATCATGGATACTTAAAGATGGATGTCAGTCCGTTGCAAGAGAGAAAAAGATGACGACTTCAAAATTGACTAATCTCTCACTGAGCAAAAGGAGACGATCGTAACTGAGTCTTGGACCCGAAGCAGTGCGAATAAGACACTGCCGCGTTACCCATTGATCACACCGTCCCTCGTAATGTTTAATATAATAAAAAAATCCAAAACAGACATAATAATATCGTCTTTCATAAAATTTTAATATTTTAACTAAATCATTATTTTAAAGTAAAATTATTATGCAGTAAAATAAATATATGAATTTACATTCTCTAATATATGAAATCAAGCAAAAAAATTTTTTTTTTTTTTATTAAATGTACAGAATGATTTATAAATCATGAACTACTTGATAACTTGTAGAATAATAATAATTTTGAGTATTTTTTTTTTTTTTTTTTTAGTTTTCAGTTGCATATCATTCTTGATGAATCCATTAGTAAGTATATTTTTGATTCTTTCCTTATACATTATATAGAGGAATTAACTTTTTCTTTTTAATGGAAACATACATATAAAACAGAAAATTATTAAAAAAAAATTATTATTTTACAAGTAATTAAATGGTTCATGATCTGTAGATTACCTTAAATATTATATATTTACATAAGAAAATTAAAAAAATATTATAATCAAATGCCAGAAAGTGTATGATAGTAATTTATACATACTTCAAATACATTGTTTACAAAATATTTTTATATTTAATTAATATTAGCTACTAATTATCAGTATTTTTCTTTACTAAAAATTTTCTTATCCTGCTGTGAATACAAAGTTAAAAACACAAGCTATATTATCAAAAATATTTGCATTCACATAAAAAACTATCCATGCTAATTATAATAACACGCTATCCAAATATTTTAAGGTAAAAAATTCTAATGAGTAGGTGAATATAAATTTCAAATAATAAAAAGCAATATTTACATATTAGCAATGCTGGTTATAAAATGTCCAAAAATGTAATATGTATAAAAATCATAGAAAAATTCTAAATAATAATAGGCTTTGTACTATGTTATGATGCAACACATAACATTTCAAAATGCAAATCGCAAAACAAATCATCAACAAACACAAAATAAATTTACCATGGTTTCACTTACAAGGGTCATGGTGTCCATTGAGAGGGTCTGTTTTAAAAAAGAAAAAAATTTATTATAAACATTACAATTAATTATTTAAATATCTAAATATTAGTTCATTTAATATTATTTACTAATAACTCATTTTGCAATACTTTATTTTCAAGTATTGTTTTGATTAATTTTAAACAAAACCAGTCATTTTATACTGAAACTGAACTATACACATAACTTATTCACAATTATAATATCTTCAAACACAAAAAAATAACTATAATTATAATAATAAAGTAATGTAAGTTATAGAAACTTTTTCAAAAACTTCATAGAAGAAAAACTTTGACTTACTTCGTTTTCCATCAGTCACAACTTGTTCGCAATCATCATACCATGTAGTTAAAGGACACTTCCACAGAGCTCCAGATTGATTAGTTCCTGGTTGTAGATTTTGATCTAAAGGTGCACCAACTAAAATCCTATAAAAAAAATTGTAAATTATTTATAAATAAGATAAAATAAAGAAATTACAACAATTAAAGCATTTTTTAATGAAAATAATTTGTTTAGGCCCAGATTATACTAAAATAAATTTGATGAGTTGTTCTGAAAAAAAAAAGCAGTTCATTAAAATTATTCCTCTTTAGATCAAATGTTCAAAATTATGTTATCAATTAATAATTCAAATAATTCATAACTTTAATATAGATAGAAGGAATTCTACCAGTTTATTAACTAGTATTAGTATAAAATCTCAGAAGGCTGAAATTTTTCAATTCAACTTGGACTTCATTTGAAATAAAAATTAATCAAATAGTTGAAATTATAATTTTTGTATGTAAAATTTATTTAGAAGCTGAAAAAATATATAGATATCATTTATACAATTAAAATATATCTAGTATTTCAAACACATATTAAATTTTGCACTGATTTGAGAAAGCTTAAATAAATTTGATGTTTCTGTTACAAATATTATGGTTTAAAAAATTTTATAAAATAAAGAATATACTAATTTTCTATCAATTAAATCAAATTAAAAAAAAAACAATTGATTTGAAATATTTTTTACATAATTTTATAATTAATAATTTTCTATCCAAAACATGATATACAAAATAGTTATTAATTTAAGTGCAATTTTGATTTTAGGACTAAATTAGATAAAGATAATATAGATAACACATTGATTTGTCCCAAATTATTGAAAAAATTGTTTGAAATCATTAGAATACAAATTAGCTATACATGTCATAAAACACATCAACATAAATTAACTAACGGATCGTCAATATTTGGTCAGTAAATGAGTATACAATTTCCGACATAATCATTATGCTAGTCACGTTTTTAAGTTCAACGGTCATTAAATAAAATGTGAAGATTCTTCACCCAACTCACCAACTATTTTCGACTTGTCCTTTAAGTTCATCAAACGACTGATGGCCAGCTACCGAATATCCAAAGTATGAACCATAATGACCATGTTTAACAATAGGTAATCTCGTTTCCAAGTTGAAACCTAGAACGGTCCAGTGAACAATGAAGCTGTACACGACTAGCAAAGCCGAGAGATTCGAGATTACGATCATATTAGGAGACATTCGCTAGTTATCGGTTTGTCAATCGATAAAAAAACGGAATTTTCTTACATGTATAGCCATTATTTTTATTTTTGAAAACCATCAACGTTGATCGTACAACTACACGAAACACACTAAGAACGACAGTACTCAACATACAACTGTTACTCGAAGAGCGACAACCTGCACTCGGCTACCCGTGGGCAGCATTCGTAAACAATAGCATGTTATCATATAAGTAGTATCAGTACGATTGTTCATTGGCCACGGTAAGTCATCGCCGTAGGGTTATAGCTACTTGTTCGTGGGCGACATCACAGAAGCGCACATTTTTCTATAAGTTATTGTATTACCTCATGCCGTAGCGCGCTACAAAATGATACATTTCTTTATTTTATTAAGAGTTATATTTTCATGATATATTTTTAAATCCAATTATTTTTTCTATGTATATCACGACGTTTGTATTTGCTCCATATGACTTCTGTAAATCATTCGTATATATCCAAACAATTATCTAATTATTCCCAAATGTAGTGTATTATATCGGAGTAGACTGTTTAAAACGCTATAATTATCCTTGTTTCAATTTTTTTTAATTCTACAAAAATAGGGTCTTTTCCTAGAAAAAAAAGTTGTCGAGTAGATCAGGTGATCAAAATATAGGTAAAACTGGATAACTTAAATGTTAATGAGTTAAGGCACTTGCAGCTTATTAAAAACTGATTTTTATTTTGTTAAAAATCCATATGATTATATGAACATAACTTTAAATTTATTCATTGTTGACTGATTATGTAAAAAGCAGTATAAACTTTTTGTGAGTACATAATATTTTCAATGTCTCTATAATAATTGAGTCTCTATTATTATTTAGTTTAAAGTAAAATACATTTCAATTATTAGTCTAAAATTCTTTTTACATGCCCCGTATTAAGAATAAATAAATAATATATTATATATAATATATTTTTCATGATAAAATGGACGTTTTTATTATAATTTTTAGCGGTATTATAAGTTTAAGTATTCAAGATTAATATCAAGAAATCTAAAGTAATTTTATTTTTATTAATTTTACGACCTACGCTTATACCATGAAGTGGCTAAATATTATTACAGCAGAGAATATGGAATTCTTACAATTTAAACAAGTTACCACTAAGAGTTCATTCTAGGTAATAACATTTTAAATCCATGATGTTGGGAATTATATCATAAAAACAACTCTTGTATGAATAAAATTTTACAGTAATTATAATTTGGCATTTATTTTCATAATAAATAGTCATATTATATGCATTTTTATTTAAATTAATCATTTTATAATCATTTAAATAGTCGTGAAAGAAACAGCTGCAAACATGAATAAATCATCACTATACAACGTTTATAGAAAACGGCTGTTTTTTTTTTTGGGATCATTGTACTGCAGAGACTATACAGAGATTGTACGGAAAATCGGTACTCGCCCATTTAACAGAACTTTGATTTGTACGAATAATTATCACCAACTGTTATCTCAAAACGATTTTCCCGCGTAAAACGACTAAGTTTTTATTTGTCATGAAATACAAAAAATATCGTGACTACTCTTATTGAAAATTTTAAAATTTTCAATTATTATTATATTTGTTATTCATCAGCACAATGGAAATTTCTAAACATTTTATTAGTATTCTAAAGTCTATTGAATACCACATTGGTCATTTGCCCAAAGATGTGTTGGCACACGAAGGACAATTACCTGAATTGCGGCCTATTTTCACTTGGTTTCTTAATAATATTTCCCCTAAAAATAATTGTGTTACTCCTAAAGATATAGCATTGTAAGTATTTGTTTTATTTTTATTGTATAGCAAATTCTAAGTCAAAAATATTTTTTTTAAGAATAATGATTCTGAAAGAAGTAAAAGTTCCTCAATAATTTGAAAGAATTGTATAAATATATTTATTTTCATTCATTGAGCCTTAATTTTTAATCATATAGATCATAATAAATAATTTACCAAAAATAGTTTAAGTAATATTCTCCATTAAAAAAAAAATGATGCATAAGGTTGAAAGTGACTTACTCAAGGTTTTGTCTTAACGAAATATGTACAAGAACCGTTTTACATTCTTCTTTAAAATATGTCCTCACTTTATTTATTTTTGTTATTAAGGGAATTCTATCTCCTGTATCCCCCATGAGGACCTCCATTAACATATTATATGATAATATATTTTTTAATTAAAATTGTTTACAATAGTATAAATATTTTTGGTCTCATTAAAAAAAAATTATTTTATTATAGTTTAAGATTTATTTTCTATAGGTTTACATCTCTATCATCTAAGTATGATATTTCATCATTAGATAAAGTATCTAGTGCAATCAATAAATATTACGATAAATCAACTAAAGATACACCCATTACACCTGTTGATTTAGAAACATTAGAGGAAATGATTTTCAAATCTGATTTAGAATTAAACTATCTTAAAGACCAAAATGATATTTATAAGTAAGTTATATTCAAATTTTTTTTTTTTTTTTGTAAAAAAATTAAAAGAAGTTTCTTTTCAATTAGTACATAATAATATTAACATCTTTAAATAAAAATATTTTATTTGCATTTACTATATCTTGGTATTGCATTGTAAATGTCTTGAAAATAACACAACATTGAGTTAAGGCTGAGCTAATTCTTGTATTTTTAAAATAATACTAAAAAATAATATAAATATATATATATATATACAGAATGGAACAGACCTAACTGACAACTTCTATAACTGTTGAATTAATCAACATTTAATGGTTTAATATTGAATTTTTTAAATAGCTAATTTTTAAGTATTATTTTTAAATTACATGATATTTGATATTAAAAGTAAATACTCAAAGAGGACAAGACACTAACGTTTTTTATTTTTTAATTGTGTATTACGTAAAATAAACTTTAATTTAAAATAATTTAGAATGATGTAAGTATTCCATTACTTTGCAAAATATTATAAAATTGGACATTTTCTCCAAAAATTGTATGTGTTTTGCCTTAATGACCAATAAGTTGTAGAAATCTCGATTTCAGTTGATTTTTATTTTACATCTTAATTGAAAAAATGTAGATATGATTTTTAAGTCCCCATATTGCAAAAAATATATAGTATATACTTATATATTATATAAAAAAAAAAAATTATAAAAAATATTAACATTGTGAGACATTTTGTATATGTATTAAAAAGTCTTTTAATCTATCAAAGTTCATGAAATTGTTTTGTTTTTGGTAAACTTCAAAATGATAAAATAATAATTTTTAGGTTAAAATGGTAATTGTTTTATAATTATTATGGAATCTTAATTTATAATATTAATTTTAGAAAAAAAAAAGAAAACATTAACTTTGAAATTGTTGAATTGGAAAAAGAAGAAAAGAAATCTTTTAAATCTTATGTTACAATGATTAATGACATCGAGTCAGTTATGAATAATTTTACTGAAGGTCTGGATAATTTTAGTAACAACATATTGAAGCTACAAAACCATACAAAAAATATATTATATGTTTGTATTTTTATTTTGAAAATAATTATATAAGCTAACTTGTTTAATTATTTTTATAGGATGATGACTGTCTCACCAAGTTAGCAGCTAAAAAATTAACAGAGATAGCAGATTCATGGCGTCTTCAAATTTTAAAAATGATAGATCTTTGGTTTGAAGATGTATGTACTTATAAAAAAATGTTTGTACAAATTAATATTTTTTATTAATAATTTATTATTAATTTAGAAAGATTCTTCTCCAGAAGAAATTGATTTTTATTTAAAAAATATTAGTCAACTTAGTTTAGTTACTAAAAGGTAATATATCAATATTCATATTGAACATATGTATTAATAAGAATTTTAACAACAAATTTTTCACTAGTATTGAATGTCTGAAGAATGCAGAATATTTAATTAAATGCTATTGTTTAAATTTAAACACTACCATACAAAACTTATTTAATGTAATCAATATGATAAAAGAAAACAAAGAGAATTTGGATCTGAACAATCTTAATATAACTAGGTATGTCATAAATTTTTTGAATAATTATTCCTACTATTTTGTTTTTTTTATAATTTTCAGTTTTTTACATATATTAAGTAAATCACAAACCCTACCTCAAATCACTATCAATGAAATAAACCCTATGTCTGATGTATCTCATATAGTGTTAGCTGACACCAAAAACAAAATGAATCAGTTAGATACTATGTTGAAACAAATAACTTTTATTGAGGAGTCTATAGAACATTATATAATAATGTGTGATGTTTTATGGTGTCTTATGAGAACAGACTGTTCTTTAGCAAATGTTAAATGTGAACTTATTTTACGGTGTGCTGAATTGTTAGATAAACTACTGTCAGACATTGTAAAATCAGAAGTATGAAATTTTATTGGTTCATTCTTTAAAATAAATTTTATTCTATACTATTTTTAATTTCTTTAAAGGACATGACTCTTCAAATTAATAAATTAATGAAAGAGAATAGTAATAAAAGTAATCAAGAAATATTTATTAATAAGGAAATAAATTTCAATGGTTACACACAGTATTTGAATAAATACAGCGAGAAGTAAGTTATCCTGTTCTATAAATTCTATTTTAAAGTAATTAATTAATAGTTTATTATTAAATTTATCAGTGCTGAATTTACGCATCTTTTACAATTTGTACAAAAATGGAAAAGCAAGTATCATTATACTAGAGACGAATGCAATAAACTTATCAATCTTCAAAATTCTATTAATAAATGCAATGAGATGATCAATGGTTTGATGTTAAATTAATATTTATAAACTATTTTTTTTTTCATATTTTATTGATGAACATTTATAATTCATAACAAAAATTGTTAAAAATATGGCATACCTGATACAGAAATATCAGTTCAACAATAAATATATATTTTTTATACATGATGTAATATATTTTATATAAAATAAAAATGATTTGGTAAATAACAAAAAATTTCATAAAGATATAGTTTAAAATAATCTTTTTTCATATGAGAATAAACTATGAACATTGCCTTCAAGTTGGGCAGATTGTGTACGTTTTTCAAATCTTAATTGTCCTAATGTCATCATATTTCTAAGATTCTTAATTGATCTGGTTCCAATGTCTTGACAACTATGTCTTAAACCACACTGAATGTAAGGTAAAAATCGTAACACTGAACCCTTATCTACAATAGCACCACTAACACCTTGAGCCACTTTCAATGAATCTTTTTCACTAAATAAAAAGATGATTTTTAAACAATTGCTTAAAATGCTAAAAAAACTGAAATTTACCTATGAAAATATCTATTTAATGCTGATCCTTTAGCATCTTTTCTATTCATGGCTTCTAAACTTCCCATTCCTCTATATTTCTTTAATCTTACACCATCTGAAAAGAAATATTCACCAGGTGCTTCTGAAGTTCCAGCTAACATTGAACCCATCATTACTAAAACAATGAATTTTTTTGTAAAATTTGGATAATCAACAGTATTGTATTATATAATTGTATAATCATTGATATAACAATGTATAATTGAGGTATAATTAAATGATAAACTCAACAAGATTTTTAAAATTTATATAAATAATGTAAAATTATTAATTTAAATTTAAATGAGTTTTAAAAGTTTAAGTAAAAAAGTTAACTTAATTTACCTGTAGACGCTCCAATGGAAAGTGATTTAATTATATGACCAATTGACTGAATCCCACCATCACCAATAACTGGTACACCAAATTGAGATGCATATTGAGCAACTCTATATATAGCAGTTCCTTGAGCTCGACCAACTGCCATCACTTCTTGGGTAGTGCATATTGATCCACAACCCATTCCTACTCTCAAACCATCAACACCAGCTTCTATAAGGGTTTTTGCTTGAGACATAGTAACAACTAATAAAAATATAAAAAAATTAACAATGAATTCAATGGATAAAAGTTAACATTTTACCATTTCCACCAATAACTTGTAATTCTGGTAAGTTTTTTTTGATATATTTTATCATTTCTACTTGGAAAATTGAATTTCCTTGAGAAGAATCCTACATATTTAATTTTAAATAAAGAAATTAAAGAAATTTATGTCTAAAAAAAAAAAATTATGATTTTACCAAAACAATCACATCTGCTCCTGCTTGATGAAGTAAATGTAATCTTTCTTTATCCTCTTCTCGAGTTCCAATTGCAGCACCTACCAAAAGCTGTTTGTTTTCATCTTTAGAAGCTTTTGGAAAGTTACGAGATTTTTTCAAATCTGTTCGAGCTATTAACGCAACTAATTCTCCATTTTCATTAACAATAGGTAATTTTCCTTTCTTAGAGTTTTCTAATAGACTATTGGCTTGTTCAAGAGTTACACCTGATTGGGCCGAAATAATATTTTCTAATTTGGTCATGATCTAAAAAATTAAAAGTATTTTTTTTTATACAATGATTTAATTTTTTTGGCATTTCTTACTTCTATATATTTGAACATTAAGAAAATTCAGTAAATACAATAAGATTTCTAAATTAATAATGGGGAAAGGATCAGGGTTATTTGTAAGCCTTAAGCATTTGTTAAAATTTGTTTTATATTTTAACGAAAATTAAGACTATGTCATACTTTTCACTATACATGATAATTAACACTGATAATGAACTAAATAAAAATATGCTTAATGGTTATTTTAGCCTATGTAGTAAATTATTATACCAAGACTAGAAGAAGGAAGCATTTTCTTTTTTCTTTTTAAATTATAGTGCAATTTAATTATAAGCTGAGAATATTATAATTTTTAGTTTACTTAATTACTTTATTTCAAATGATTAAACAATTATCCAAAGAAAATAAATTGATTTTTAAAGTTGAATAAATTTAGTCCACTCAAAATCCTACTAATAAATAAAAAAAAATTTATTTTAGCATTAAAATTAAACTAAAAATTAAATTATTGAGTTACATACTATGCTGACTGGTTGTCTTAATTGTTCAGATCCTTCCAAAAAATCAATATCTCTAGATGTAACAATACCAACTAATTTACCACCCAATTTTCCATTTTCTGTTACTGGAAAGCCACAAAAGCCATGTTCATCTTTTAATAGAAAAACTTCTGATACCTAAGTATAAAACACATAATTGAAATTTGACTAAACTACAAGTAAATGAAAAATGATGCTTGTTCTTACTAAAATATCAGGTGATATTACTACAGGATTACGAATAAAACCATGTTTGTATTTTTTCACTTTAGATACTTCATTAGCTTGATAACTTGGTAAACAATTGTGATGAATAATACCGATTCCACCGCAAAGCTTCATTCAATTACATAAAAATTAATGATGGACATTTTCAAATATTTTAAACTATCGAATAGTATTTGATAGTTTTATAAAATTATCGAATAACTATTCGAATTGTTTTTATACAACCAAATAGTTTATTTTTAGCATAAACTATCGAATAGTTTAAAAACTATTTGAATAGTTCCACTTAAAATTTGTATTCAGTACATTTAATTATTATAAGAAGATAATTAACAAATACTCAAAATAAATTATTATACAATTAATAATAGTAATAATTAGTGATGGGCATTTTTAAATATTTTAAACTATTAATTAACTATTCGAATATATTTTGTAACTATCCAATATTTTTACTATTCGAATAGTTTTAGAATGACTATCAAATAGTTTAAATAGTGTACAACTATCGAATAGTTTAATAGTTACTATTCGATATTTCCCATCACTAATAAAAATAATAATAAATGTAACAACAGATATTTTGAAAACATAGTTAATTATTTTCTTAAAACATGTAATTGTGTAAGACTTTTCCTATACTTTTATAATAAATTACTCTTAACATTTATCTATTTATAACCTTTTTTTTTTTTTTAAATATTTTCTCTATTATACACAAAGAACACAAAATATGTTACCGTAAGTTGAACAAAGTAAGGTACAGATATTCAGTATTATGATGCTAGTTGAAGGAATTCTAGAGACCTATCAACTCTTAAATTATCTTTATTTAAAAAAGCTATACTTGACTCATAAACTTCTGAAAATATTTTTAAATGTCATTAAAAATTCACTAATTCCAATTTTTACAATTAAAAAATTGATACCACATAAATTACCAACTAAAACCATAAATAAAATAAAGTATTATTTTTTGTAACTTACAAGTTAATTTCATGAGTTTAAAGACTCAAGTTCTGAATATTGAAGAAAGGTCAACCCATGCCATGACTAATCATTCAAACATGGTTACACGACCACCTCCAATGTTTATTTTCTCAAGTATCATAAAACTAAGAGTAAGCGTACTCACTATATAATATTAATGTTTCATTATTTTACTCCTAAAGGGATGAAAAAAATGATTTAACTACATATAATTGTACAATTTTTTTAATTATAAAGCATTTTCCTTATATTTTAAAATTTTTAACAGTTTCTAAGATAATGAGTCTTGCTCTTAATTTATGATAGTGAAGATAAAACTTTGGTGTTATAAGTTATATATAATTGAAAAATTAATTTTAATTTTTTTTAACTTGATAGAGGTATTATACTAAATTGAGTATTCAGTAAGTGAGGAAATAGGTTTCTATTGTTCTCATTATTTTCTTTTGGAATAATCCACTAATTTCTTAAAATTAAACACTATGTATTACAGATATGCATCGAAGCTTTTCTATAATAATGATTTTAATCATTGTCAGATATCATCTATACTTGTCCCAACTATACCACGTTCATACTGTACAGCAATCCCACTGTGCTACCATTTTTAATTAGAAGTTAGAGAAGATGTACTTAAAATTTTAAGATTTTCAGAAGTGGCCTTGCAACCATTACTAGATTAATCCAAAAACATAGAGTAGTACTCAATTTGCTTTGAGCAAAACCTGATATTAAACAATATATTATTTCAAATTATTTTACTGAATTTTCATAACCATTGACAAATTTAACAAAAATTTTTTGGCAATATAACTTTTCAAATTTATCTCAGAATACTTAATACTTCAGATTTATATTATTACTTACAGCCATAGCAATTGCCATTTCTGATTCTGTTACAGTGTCCATTGGAGAAGAAACTAAGGGTGCTTGTAGAGTAATTTTTTTGGTTAAAGGAGAAGATAAGTCCTAAAAACAAAATTTGTTATAAAATAATTTTTAAGTCAACCTAATATTGATTAAAAATTTACAAAAGAAACAATGATTGTGGAAATTTATAAAATTTTAACATTAAAAATATATTTCTTATATTTTTATCATATGATGGTAAAATTGTTTTCATTTAATCTAATTTATGCAAATCTTAATTAGATTTAAAAGCCTTAATATGATTTCATTCAGTTAGGTAATACATTACATAATAAAAGAATAATGAATACTTACAACATCTTGGGCAACAAAATCAATGTATCCAGGCAATAATATGAAATCACTGAAAATTATTGTTATACACTATTACATTAGAAATAAATGATACACAAGCTAAGTACTTATATAATTAGGTTCACTTCTTTATAATAAAAATTAAAGGTTTGGTTTGTTTTTATTTTTTATTAATATTAAGCTATGTTAACATCATTAATTTTAAGATCTTATAAATAATTACAACTTTATGACAAAAATTGTGTTCTAAGCTTTCTTACAATTGAATGATAGAACAAAATAGGTATTTGATGGAACTCTGATTCAAATATAAAAATTTATATAAATAATAAATAAAACTTCATTATAACTTTCTAGGCATTGAAAATCTTCTGAAGTCAGTTTAAGATGGTTATTTTTAACTAGCTAAAAAATAAACATTAAGCTTACAATCTTTCAACATTTTGATATTCATATATTGTAATTATTTAAGTTTTTTTACCAAAAAATATATAATTAAGTCATTATGCCACAAAACAAAAGCATATATATGTATATAAACACAGTGGAACAGATCTAATTGACAATTCTTATAACTTTTGATTTAATAATTATTCTTTTTTTAATATTATTTTTAAAAATATAATATTTTTATTTTAAACTATTAAATAATGGTATGTTAAGCTGTCATAAGTTCAATAATAATACTCTGATAAAACATACACTATTGTTCAAATGACCTATACATATATATTTTATTTTTATGGTTATATAATGAAAAAACACTCATAATTATAAATATATTATAACTAATCCATGTTTTTAACAATAGAAAAATATATTTATTAAAAGGCTTTGAATACTATCAACATTTGCAAATGATATAATTTATTTTGTTGCAAACAAAATGTATACACTGTGAAGTAATTTATTAAACTTTGATATTACAACAAATTATCTTTTATGGATAATCAAATATATATTTAAGATATTTACTAGTAATTCTAGAGCTTGTATATATGTGTTTGATTATTTTATATCTATTAAATAAGCACTATTGAATGTAAAGTTATTATTCATTTGAGTAAGTAAATATTTTGTACACAATATGTTGACTTAGACTTTAGACATAAAATTGTTATAATAAAACAAAGCCTTACAAATGGAAAAAAATTTAAATTATATTCAAAAGTAAGATTGTTTGTTAAGTATAAAAAATCAATACAGAAAGATCACCTTTAATTTTATAAAGTATATAACTAATTAGTCATTGTCTATATGCGCCATTTATAATATTAAAATGTCTGTATCTGTATGTAATTATTCAAAATACTAAAAAATAGGCTTAAATATATTTTTGTAGCCATCATGAAAAGATTAATATTAATAAAAAATAAATTGGGATTTCCCAGTTATTAGCTTGTAATAATAATCAAAATTTAAAATGTTTTTAATGATAATTGCATGATTTTATGCTACAGTTTATTCTTAATTAAGTCTTAAGCAAGCAATTTTTTTTTTTTTGATCAAGTGAGATAAAATTTGACTTAGTTTTTTTGAAAAGTAAGATATTAGTTGTTTAACTTGTGATTTTTAATAACAAATGAAATTTATATTTGATAGAAATTTTTAACATAAAAAAAAAAAATTTATAAGACTAAACTGTTTTAAACATTTTATAAAGTATTTAAATTATGGTAGCACTAGGCATAAACAGCTGAAAAACTAGTGAAATAGGTTAACTCTTTTGTTGAATCTTTTAAATTGTACATTATTCATGAAATATATTTAATTTTCAAAATATTTATTATGTTATAATATTTAAAGTTTTATTTCAATAATTCATCTATAACAGATTAATCTAGGAAATTTTATAAATTTGACAAAAAAAACCAAAATGTAATTAGGAAAATTTAATACATTAAAATTAAATCGCTTTTTATTAATAGTTGAAACAAGTTTTTGCATACTACACATGAAATATAGTGGATTTACTTAAAATTGCCTAATTATGAAAACTGATTAAATATAAGCATACTTGTAGGTAAGGCCTTCGCCGGATTTGAACAATTCTTCAGCTGAGAGGCCGTCTTGAATAATATCTCCAGAAGGCATTTCAATGAATTGTACAAAATACAATAATAATAAAAATTGAAAAATCCCCGACTAATAAAAAAAAGCACGTGTTAAATATGTGTTGGCGGCAAATATCGTTACTTCACGTACAGCGAGCTCCTCAACAAACACTCAGCAGGAGCTAACTGAACGAGTTATTTTATTGACAACAGCGAGTGACAAACTTTTCCGACACTCGGCAAGTTATAAAAGATAGCAAAACGACGTACCTTCTACTAAAAATCTAACATAAATGTAGATGAACTAACTTAATAACTATGGTAGCTTGTGATGGGTTACTTGGTATCATTTTTATCAATTTATGGTAAGGTGCTTATCATCATTAACTAATTGATAATCACCACATGGTGTTTTTCTTAAATAAATCTCGACGTTAGTAGTGTAATAAAAATTTTTAGTTAAAAATGGATGATCAGGAAGCTTCTATGGAAGATCAAGATGAACAGGAGTCTATGATGGAAGATCGAGATATGACAACAGAAAAAGGACCAAGACAAGTTTATTTACCTGGTCATCAAATGAATGAAGAGGAATCTTTAGTTTTTGATCCTTCTGCATATCACATGCTTCATGATGTTGATTCAGGTAAGATTTGTTAATTACTTAAAAAAAAAACAAAGAACTTAAAATTTTAGTTTTATTAGATATAATATCATTTAAATAATTGTAGCTAATTTTATATCTTGATTATTTTGTATTTTAGGTTTACCTTGTTTGAGTTTTGATGTAATAGCAGATGATTTAGGTTCTAATCGTAATATTTTTCCACACACTATGTACTTAGTGGCTGGCAGTCAAGCCGAAAAACCCAAGGATAATTGTGTTATTGTTATGAAGGTATTATTAAGTTACGATTAAATACTTGGTTTTATGTAACTTATTCTTATTTTTTTAGTTATCAAATTTAAATGCTATAAAAAAGGATGAGAGTAGCTCATCGGAAGATTCTGATGTTGAATCAGATAGTAGTGATGAAGAATCAAATGATCAACCAGTTTTGCAAGTATCAGCATTACCACATTTTGGTACCATTAATCGGATTCGAGTATGCTGAAAATTGAAATCATTTAAATCTAATAAGAAGTTTTTCTAATTATAAATTTTTAATATTTTCTAGAGTACAGCAGTTAATGGAAAAGTCTTTGGTGCAGTTTGGTCTGAAAGAGGAGTTGTTAATATGTATGATCTCAATACTAAGTTGAAAGATGTTGAAAAAGCTAAAAGAAATCGAAAAATTGGAAGTGTAGAAAAAAAGAAGAAACATGGTAAACAAGCTCCTAAAAGAACATTGGTAGAACACAAACCATTACATTCGTTCTCAGGTCATCGAGATGAAGGTTATGCTTTAGATTGGTCAGATACTACTCTAGGTAAAGTTTTAAAAAATAAATGTAATTTTTTAACCATTTTTTAACCAAATTATATAATTTAAGGTGTTTTGGCTAGTGGTGATTGTAAAGGTAATATACATATTTGGAAGCCTAGTGAGGGCAGTTGGACTGTAGATTTAAGATCATTGGAAGGTCATAAAGAATCTGTTGAAGATCTACAATGGTCCCCTAATGAACCTAATGTCATAGCATCATGTTCTGTTGATCGATCGTTAGTCATTCTTTAATTATCAAGTAATTGTCACATTTTAAGTTGATTTAACTTATATTGTTGTTTAGATTAAGAATATGGGATACGCGACTAGCGCCCAATAAAGCTAACATGTTGACCATAGTTGATGCACATGATAATGATATAAATGTTATCAATTGGAATAAAAAAGAACCATTAATTGTTTCTGGAGGCGATGATGGAAAATTAATGATTTGGGATTTAAGGCAGTTTAAAGTAAAATTTAATGTTAAGTTTTCCATCATTTTTTTTTCTATCCTTTAATCATACATAATTCTAGAAAGGTAAAGATTTAGCTACTTTTAAACACCATACAAGTGCTATCACAACAGTTGAATGGAACCCAGATGATAGTTCTGTATTTGCTTCTGGTGGTGATGATCACCAAATAGCCATTTGGGATTTAGCTGTTGAGAGAGATACTACTAATGAGCAGGATGATATTAAGGTAAAAATCTTAATGATAAGATATTATGAATGTAATAAAACCTTAATTTGAAATATCTTATAAAAGCTATAAAATAAATATGCAACTTTTTATGCTTTTCACTTGATAAGATCTAATCTTATTAAGTGAAAATTATTGAATTATAATATTATATATAATAATTAAATTATTGAATTTATTCAATAATAATGTTTGTCCAAAAACTAACTTAAAATATTTGATGGAACACATCATTTTATTGTTAAATAATGTGATATCTAGAAGCTCTGCCTTTTGTTAAATAGTCTAATATTTTTCTTAGTATGAAATATATTTTATTGCCATTTGAATATTATAAACACTGAATTAACAATTGTTTTTGTTCTTCTCTAATGCATTGAAATATTTCAAATTTATAAAATTTGTTTCCTTTGTTTTAGGAAATCCCACCACAACTCTTATTCATTCACCAAGGACAAGAACATATAAAAGAGCTGCATTGGCATCCACAAGTTACTGGTGTACTTATTAGTACAGCTCAATCAGGATTTAATGTTTTTAGAACCATAAGTGTATAAAAATAATTAAAAAAATATAACATTTATTTTCTAAATAATTTAGAAAAAAAACAATTATTGTTTTTTTTTTGCCATCAAATTTTTAGTATTAATTTTTCTTTTTTAGAAGCTAAATAAGTCTAAATTAAAATTTAGAATTTATCGAATTTTTAAATTTGCACTTCATCTTTGATTAGTGTTATCATTACCATAACAATATGATAACAATAAAATGCAAAAAGTTATCTTTTAATCATGGAATGAAAATAGTAGTGTCTTCTGAGGCCACTGAACGTAATTAAGATATTTATACTAGCCCATATATAATTACTTTTAGTATAATACCAAATGTTTTTTTTTGGCTTGAATAATAAGAAAAATTTTTATTTAAATTATACACAAAATTAAATATCTAAAAAAGAACAAAATGTATTTATATCAATATCTAGTAAACTACTAACAATTATGGAATTTTAAGTATAAAGTTAAGTTAAAGTTTTTCTTTTTGAACATTACTTTCTTCAATTAATTTAGTAACAAAATTTCTTAATTGGTCTTCATCTTGTGAACCAATAATTTTTGATTTAACCTTTCCATCTATCATTGATACCAGTACTGGTACCACAGATATCTGTAAAAAAATGTATAATAAATAAAAATTTGTAAAATTAAAGCAAAATGTTACTCCAAAATCCATAGCGATTTCAGCATGATCATCAATATCCACCTTTAATAAGTGTATTTTACCATTTTGCTCATCCACTATGTTTTCAATGAGAGGTTGCAAAATTTTACAAGGTCCACACCATCTATAAATTCATAAATAATTTTCTTAAGTTCTAAATCTTTAATTATTTTTCTAGCTGTAAGAGTTATATAATGCAGCTGTAGAAATAAAATACATACGTTGCAAAAAAGTCAACAATAACTGGAACTTTACAGTTATTTACATGTTGATCAAAGTCTTCTTTATCTTGTATTTTAAGTATTCTCTGACAAACTAAAAAATGTTTAAAAAGTACATAGTGAAATTGAAGCTCATATTCTAGTATATAATAGACCAAATAATTGTATCAAAAACATAAATAACGTGTTTGAAGATAAAAAATAATGTTGTGGAGTATTTCTTAATATAATTTAGATTTTCAATAAAATCTGACACAAAGGTTTGCTCATAATTTTAAGCGAATAATTACCAAACTTATGGTGTACATTACATGAGTCTTGCTTGACTAAAAGACAATGTCACGCATGAAGAAACTTTAACAGACTAGAAAAATATCAACTCAAGATACAAGATAGTGTTTTGTCTTTATCTTGTTCTTACTTTACACAGGCGATATTTTGACTAGCATTAACTCAATTATTGTTTTATACAACACTTAATTCTCACAAAAATCAATGGATAGCTATTATTCAAATTCAAGTAACCAACAACATTTCTACAAGGATAAAATGGAAGATTAAGATGAATAGTAAAAAATTAGTACACATAAATTTTAATTTACAAAAAACCCCTCACATTCCAATATTACTGAATCAGTAAACAATCACACAAAAAATTCATCTAAATATCTGGAAATCCACCTTTACTGTCGCTTTAATTAGAAACACTATGTACGTTTGAAATGAAAGAAAAATTGCACAATTTATTGGTTAATTGGAAAACATTCTGAGCTACTAGAGAAGAAATATCTATTATAAATTGTGATCATAAAACCTATTTGGAACTATGGAATTCAATTGTAAGACTGTTTTAGTAAATGTATCATAGAGGTTGTACAACACAGTCAAAATACCTCCCTTGTACCATTGTTGTAGAAAATTAATTTTAATAGAAATTATGTAAATTCATTTTGATATGATGTTGTATGCTGTAACTCAACTCATACAAAAGGATATAACAATGTTGGAAAATTTATTGACAATCCAACTATTAGAAAATTGCAATGATTTAAGACATTTAACTCATTCAAACCATATGACTTGGTTTAAATTTATAAATATTTATGTATACACATTTTAATTATTGTTTTTATCATTAGATTAAGTTAGAGATCACATAATTGGAATTATAAATCCCATTTATAATTATATATATATATACAAATAATTTTTTTAATATTAACCACTCGATTTCTCATAATAGAATATATTTTTTAAATAACTTTTTTTTGGATTTTTTAAATTACACATGTATTTCCATGTATCTGTTAAAATAATTCTTCGATCCATCCCTTATAACTTATATGAGTAACAACTTAATTTTTTTAAATGGCAACATACATATTAAACTAACTTATAAAATAGAAAATGACATAATTAAGATATCCAACTAAGGTGCTAATTTATGAATATCCTCCAGTGCACTGGTTCAAAAGTTGATATCGACCAGTCATTTTAATAATTTTCTATTTTATAAGTTAGTTAAATATTTCACAGCCTCTAATTCCTCTCTCCTTATATATATATATACATATTATTCAGTATATTTTTCATACGTTAATATATTATTGTAAAAGAATTTACATATTTAAGTTCTATCTTAAATAAATCTATGCATATTAAATTTTATAAAATTAGGCTAATTTAATTAGCTAACTATACAAGTCTATAAAAGATATTTATAAAATAATTTTGCAGGAACAGAGGGTCAACCTTTCTTGCGAGTTTCTAAGACTGTTATCAATTTAAAAAAAAATAATAATAAATTGCAAATTACTTACTAGGAGAAAAACTTAAAGCACGCTTGAAAGAATTTGCAACGGGTTTGGAAATATAATTCATAAACATCATTTTAGTCCTAAATAAATAAAACAAAAACTCAAGTTAAAATCAAATGTGTTTTATATTATTTAATTAAGTCCGTTTTTAAAAATGTATAACTCAACGTCTATAAAGTATATAAAATAACTTCAATCTTGTACTTATAATTATAAAACAATTTTTATTATTGTATATTTGTTACACAACAATCAGATATTGTTTTATTTTAAAACATTTATTAAACATTCAATAATTATTGAAAACCATGAAATATTTTTTTTGTTTTTCATTCTATTTAATTCTAAAAAAAAATGTGATCTATAAGTAGGTTGGCTTGTAAGTTCTAGTTTTATAAAATAATAAAATTAAAGAACTGACATATTAATACTGAAGAATAAAATATTACATTTTTTTTATCATTTTTGGGCTTCAGTTACAGACTTTTTTTTTCGAGAAACATAAGTAAGAAGTTTTCAAATATATGCTAATTTATATGGGCAATAAAATATCGAACTTACGAAAATTATTTTTTATGAGATTATGTATTTGAGTACTCAAATGGATTGTTAAGCCGGCTTTATGTATTAAAATTTTTATATGGAACATGATACTACTTATCAAAATTTTTCTGATATCATCTTAAATTTGAAAAGTCCTTCAATCACAATTCCTAAACATTGAACATTTAATGCGCATGCTCACATTGTGAGACCCTAGACTAATGAGTGCCAAGTAACTTGAAAATCTTTACACGAGGTTATCGGTTTAAATTTAGTAAACCTAATTTGTTTGATTATTTTCAGTCAAGTAAGAATTTATTATTTATAATTTTCATAAGTGAAAGTATATTAAAATGGCTGCAATCAGCTTATTAAACCCAAAAGCCGAATTTGCCCGCGCAGCACAAGCTTTAGCTGTTAATATTTCAGCTGCAAAAGGTATTCAAGATGTTATGAAGACCAATTTAGGTCCAAAAGGAACAATGAAAATGTAAGTTAAGCTGTAAATAATTATTGCAATATATAAACCTTTAAGTATATAGATTTGTAAAAAAAATGTCAGTGTTTTGAATCCCATCTGCAATGAGTAATTCTAAGTGTTTATAGGTTAGTTTTTAAACAATATAAAATTAAAATACAGAACTTAGAAGCTACTATATGAGATATAATTGGATATGATCTTAATAATTGATAGGACTTGCTTTTATTAGTTAAATAATATATGATAGTTATGTAAATTTAAATATAAAATTATATTATTTTGATTTGTATTTTTAAAAGTATTTCATTTTTATAAAAGCTCTTCCGATTCAAATTTCTGAGTTATGATATAACCTCCTTCAAGAAAAATATTCAAATTTAATCTAATTTTCTATTACATTATTTTTAGTGGCAGATTTTCAACATTTTTCTGGGAGTGATATCAAAGTATAAAGTTTATTTAAAATATTTATCAGTCTTACACTAAGTATTATATAAAACAATTTATGGATGTCTAGGAGGTGTCTAAGTGATTTGATCCCTCTTCCCTCATAAATCTGATACTGATTATTTTTAAATAATGTTCTCTTATAATGATTATAGAAAGTATATACTAAGTTTTAAATTAAAATATCATCTGTCAGATTTCTAATTATATTTATTATATTTAAAAATATAAAATTATAGAACATTATTTTAAATGACAAATTTATTTGTATTATAAATATACTATTGAATTTACAGGCTTGTATCGGGAGCAGGTGATATAAAAATTACAAAAGATGGGAATGTACTCTTACATGAAATGGTATATATTCATTAGTAATAAAATTAAATATTATATTTTTTAAATTTAATTAATTTAAATTCTGTAGCAAATCCAACATCCAACTGCAAGTTTGATTGCTAGAGCTTCAACAGCAATGGATGATGCTACTGGAGATGGTACTACTTCTACTGTTATTATTATTGGTGAATTATTAAAACAAGCAGAAAATTTAATTTCTGAGGTAGAGTGAAATTGTAATTATTAGCATATTTTAATGATATAATATCACTATAAAGATATATTATTTAGGGAGTGCATCCAAGAGTTTTAACAGAAGGAATGATCAAAGCACGTGATAAGGCTCTTGAGCTTTTAGAAAATTTCAAAATTATTGGTGTACCAGATCGTCAACGTCTTTATGATGTTGCTTCTACCTCTCTTCGTACAAAAATTGATAGAAAATTAGCTGATCAAATGTCTGAAATGTGTGTTGATGCTGTTTTAAGTATACAAAGAAAAGATGGTATTGATTTACATATGATTGAATTAATGGAAATGCAACACAAAACAGCTTCAGAAACTACTTTAGTCAAAGGTAAATAAAGTTTTTTAAATTGCTAACTTAATATAATCTTAGTAAGAATATTTTCATATGTATGTCTTATTTATTTATTATATATTATAACAATATAATTTCAAATTTGACATATTACATATTACTTGTATTACATTTCTATATTATAAATATTTATATAATAAGAAGAAAATAATCATAACTAAAAACATAGATCACATGTTTTAGTAATATATTATTATTTTTAAGGACTTGTTCTTGACCATGGTTCAAGACATCCAGATATGCCCAGAAAGGTTGAAAATGCTTATATTTTAACATGTAATGTCAGTATGGAATATGAAAAAAGGTAGATAATCACTAGTATAAGAAAAGGAAACTAATTTAAATCTATTATTTATATTAATTAGTGAAGTGAATTCTGGATTCTTTTACAAAACTGCTGAAGAAAGAGAAAAGTTAGCTTTAGCAGAACGTGATTTTATTGAACAAAGAGTGAAAAAAGTCATTGAATTGAAAAGAAAAGTTTGTCCCCCAGGTTCTGGAAAATCATTTGTTGTCATAAATCAAAAAGTAATTTTTTTAAACTGAACATGATAGCTCATTTGTATTTGTATTTTTTTTATTTTTTAGGGTATTGATCCATTTTCATTGGATATGTTAGCAAAAGAAGGCATTATTGGTTTAAGACGTGCTAAAAGACGTAATATGGAACGTCTAGCTTTGGCTTGTGGAGGATCAGCTGTTAACAGTGTTGATGATTTAACTGAGGATGTTCTTGGTTATGCTGGTTCAGTTTATGAATATGTTTTGGTATGATAAATTAGCTTAAATCAAGAAATTAATATAATCTATCTTAAACATTTTAGGGCGAGAATAAATATACATTTGTTGAAGACTGCAAAAATCCTTTAAGTGTTACTATATTAATGAAGGGGCCCAACAAATACACATTAACTCAGATAAAAGATGCTATTCATGATGGTTTAAGGGCAATTAAAAATGCTATTGATGATGGTAAGTTACTTTTTATATTATTATTATTAAAAGTTGCCTTAAAATTAATATTAATTTTAGGCAGTGTTGTTCCTGGTGCTGGTGCTTTTGAAATTTACGCATGGCAAGAATTACAAAAATTCAAAGATGAAATTAAAGGTAAAATTCGCTTAGGTGTTCAAGCCTATGCTGAAGCATTATTAGTCATTCCTAAAATTATTGGTAAGTTATACTTATTTTAAATTAACAAGTATTATTGTTTATTAATATTTAATGTGTATTAGCAATAAACAGTGGGTTTGATGCACAAGATATGATTGTTAAACTCCAAGAGGAATCTAGGGATAGTGCTGTACCTGTTGGAGTTAATGTTGATAGTGGTGAAGTACTTCAACCAGTAGATGCTGGAATATTTGACAATTATTGTGTCAAAAAACAAATTCTTAATTCTTGGTAAGTCAATTTTTATATTATTTCTCTAAATTTATTATTTAACTTTTTTTTTTTTAGTACTATTATTGCCAGTAATTTATTGCTAGTGGATGAAATTATGAGAGCTGGTATGTCATCATTAAAGGGCTAAGAATTACTTATTTCACTATTTTTCTAATTTACTAACTTTATGTATTAACTTTTCTCATGAAAATATTCATTTTGTAACAAAATTAAATAATATTAGTTATAAAACAATTTTTTTTAAATTATCAATTTATTTCAGTTAATTACTTAATTTCATTAATGATTTCTTATCTCAAACTATGTTCATAAATTGTCATGAGTATTACTTATCATGTCTAATTATTTGTCTTATAAATTAATTATAAGGACTAATCTTCTTTAAAAGATGAAAAAATAATTAAATTAGTTATAAAATAAGTAAGGTGGCTATTAATTTTATAATAAATATTGGAGAGTCTTTAGAACTAAAATTATTATTTTACTGTTATAACATCAGAAATCATAAACTACTTGACAAATAAAATAATACCTACAACTGTTAAGTCAATACGGTCGGCAAAAAAACTTCCTTAGTTGCAAAATTTTTATTCAAAACCTCTTAAAAAATTCTTGTTTAAATTAATGAAAATACTAAATGTTGTTACATCACCAAAAATGCTAATTTTTAATTTTGTTACCTGTTTCTGTATAGAATTATTATAATTTTTACTAAAATAATTTATTATATAGAAAAAGTTTAATTTAATTAGATTATTGAATGTGGTGTAAAAGTATGCATTCTCATAATTATGATTCTTTTTTATGGCATTCTAATGTTAATAATTATGATCTTGTAAGATTTCTATATAAATTTTAAAAAAATATGTAAATACAGTCGACTCTCGATAATTCGAAGTTGGCGGGACTGTCGAAAAACTTCGAATTACCGAGAGTTCGAATTGTTGAATAGTTCGAAATAACGAGAGAGCAAAAAAAAAATTCGAATTACTGAGAGTTAAGAAAAAATTTTTTTTTTTATTATTGTAGTCAACTGTACATAAATAATTGTTTTAGAAAATTTGGAATTACATATAAAAACATTTTTATTTTTTAAAAAAATCTGTAATGGTTTTTTGCTTCTTTAAGTTTTGTTTCATTTTTTCAACAGTTTTGTCTAATGTAAATAAAGCATCAANTATTGATACTTCCAGTACTGGAGGCATCTAACATTTTTTAAAGTTATTTATCAATAATTATCCGTTAGGGGTATAGATAATATTGCTATGTTTAACTTTGACATATTCATTATCTACCTAAAGTCATCTGGTTCTCTAAAATCTGTACTCTCCAGAGACACATATTGGTGCATTGAAAAGTGATACTTTTCAAATTGAAAAAATAAGAACATGATATAGTTTTCCAAATTTTTTAAATTTCCATTTATCTAAGAAAAAATAATTAATAATTAAAGATAAATGTATATTATTGAATTAAATTTTTATGTAAAATGAGGTTCTCATCTCTCATAACTAAAAAGATTTTTTTTAAATAAAATACGAATTAATTATTAATCCAAATTATACTACCATAAATTATATCCCAGTTGACTGGGATGAGCCAGTTGACTAGACTAGACTAATTTGTTTAATTTTACAAGTACATCTTTATAAAGATACTATTTTAGTATGTCACAACTTACAGAATCGCCATTAATTATAACAAAAACAATGTTATATTCAATCGCTTGAAAAGTTTATACTTAAAAACAAATCAAAAACAATAATAATGCACCTTTTTATAAAATGATATTTTTTGTAGAAATAGATCACAGCTTAAATTTCGATTATAAAATTAATAAGATAACTGAAAGAGATATTTCATAGTGAAAATGCTTAGAGATAATTTACTATTTAATGGTTTAAACAAATATATTTTTAACATTGTTATTAAACAAATATTTTATTTCATGAATACTTTGACCAAGCAGGTGTTTCAGCTTTTTTAACAGGAGCTACTTTTTTAGTAGTATTGCCTTGTAATGTTGGAAACATTTCTTCATCCTTAACATCTAAACTAGTTCTACTTTTAGGTACACTTCTTGGTCCTAATAGAATAAAATAAATTGATTAATTTAATCTAATTCAACTAACTTTTATTGAACTCTTGTGAAAACTGATACATGATAACCACAAATTAAAAGAACTCAAATTCTCATGCCTTTTTTTCAGTCAATTTTTAAAATTAAAATTCCAAAATTAGCAAAGAGGCGCAGGCATACATTATTTAAGTGGACGCATGTGGTTTCATCAAACACTTTATTATTGTCATTGTTCTCTGCTTATTAATTGAAATTTTGAGAATAGGTGGGGTTGAACTCCAAAAGCATTTTTTATTTACCCTCTACTAGTCCATAGGTATAAGTATAGATTTATAAAGTGTTTAGTATACATAAACTCCATCCCATTGTTTTTGATATAATTTGATTATACATAAAAAAAATATATAGTGGTGGGATTTACTTTCCTTCCTTTACTAAGTTTAAATATATGATAGGTTTATTCAATTTTTAAAAATTCCAGATTAAACCATAAAAATCCCCTACATTTTTATGATTTCCCTAATTATTTTAAAATCCTCTGATATTTTAACATTTTCCAGACTTGTGGCAACCATGTGAAACTACATTCATTTAGTACAACATTTCTTATAGAAAAAAAGTAGTTAAAATAACATACCTTGAAAATTGCTTCGTTGATTAGGAATAACATATACATTCTTTTTAGGTTCTTCTGGTTTTTCTACTGTGATAGGATCATCTATAACATAAAAATAATTTTTATATGAAATACAATACATTGTTAAAATAAAGTGTATTAATTACAGTATAACTAAACTGCTATTTGCTATTCTAAAGTAACTTTCATCAATTTACTTTGAATATTGTAAATGTTATGATATTCTAGTCTTGTGTACTAAGGCTTGTATATCTTATGAACGTCAGATATTATAAAATAACAGTTGATGATAAACGAGTAACAATAATAGTCAATTGCTAAGACAAGTTACGTAGAATAAACAGCAATTTTCTTTTTGACAAGTGACAATTAACACTATCAAATGACTTCTTTAAATTAATGTAAATAGTATTCAATTTATAAGTAAATAGTAAGTGATAAAAAAAATCATATAGTAAGTTAAAATAATCACAATGCTTAAAAATTAAATATCTTCTAAACAATTCATAAAGCATAAAGATTGAATAATAATTATGAAGTTCATTGTTTTTATATTCATATTTTATGTACCATAAAAAATTTTACATTAGAAAAGTGACTAATTTTTATTAAAAAAAGCTGATTTATGAATCTATATATTATTATAAAGTAATTAAATTAACAAAATTACCGAGCAATAGATATTTGCTACCCATATATTGAAATTAATATTTTATAAATATATTTTACAAAAAAAAATATTATTATATATAAATGTAAAAAAATGAAATTAAAATAAATTAGGAACATAGATGCTTATTAATTTAACCATGAAGTTTCATAACTTAGTCTAGGTATCATTATGGATGATTAATAGAAAGTGTTGTTGTGTATGAACTCAAAGGAGATACAATTTCATAAAAACTTATAATATAATTCAAGGTTGTCTAATGTGGTTCTTACAATTCTAAAATCTAATTATTAATAATAGACAACTCAAAGAATTATTAATTAATTATACATTAAAAACAAATATTAATTATCAGCCACAAAAATTCTTTGAAGAAATTTCGGAAAATACTGCTACATTATCATAATTCCTATAGGGTCAATCCATGCCAAATCATCCAGATGTGGTTGCAAGACCACCTCATTTTTTTTCTTAATTTTCCAGGGTTTATTCTTTATGCTATAATTAGATTAAAACTATTTTTTTTTTTATGATCTTCCCATTTTTATGGCTATCTCAATGTAAAATATTTAAATAAATAATCATGATTTTATTCTAGTAGTTAGAATATTCTGTCTTCGTAGATATATCAATTAAATTGTGTAAAACTATTTTCGGGAATAGGAAAAAACTAGGAAGGTCATAAAAAAGAAAATTGTTTTAATCTAATTATAACATAAAGAATAAACCCTGAAAATTTAAGAAAAAAGTGAGTTGGTTGTTCAACTACTTCTAGATGATTTGGCATGGGTTGATCCTATATGTATATCTTAATTTGCTTACAATGGCAGTGTGACAATGTGTCAGTCAGTAACGAGACAGTGTTTAATGCGCAATGCCTCAGATTCAAAACCTGGTTATGGGTGGCTTCATTTGCCGAACGAGAGATCAGTTTGGTAATTAGAGTCGCCATCCCTCTTTCTGGTGACGGACTAACAACCAGTTCCAGAGTATAAATGGTAAAGAAACCTCCTTATTTGGGGAGGCCCTTAATAGGCTGATAAAAGCGAAAAAAAAATGTAGTTAAACACTATAAAAATTTTAAATGTGTTAAATAGAAGTATTTAATAAATTTCATTCAAGTATTATTGACTCCAATGCTTGACTTTATATCTTATTGCAATAATGGTGTAGCCAGAACCACAACCAATTTTTATTTGCCCAGGCAAGTAAAAAAAAAAAAAAACATATCCTACATATGGGTTAATAGATTTTTCTAAAAAATATTGACTATACCAAAAACATACTATAATTTTTTTACAATTATAATACAAATTTTACATTATCAAAGAATATTAAAATAATTATAAATATAAATATTTTTAATTCAGTAGAATTAATCATTTACCTTTTGGCATAACTACTATTTCAGCTTCAGCAACTTTCCAAGGTCCTGCTTGTTTTCGTTTTGGCACCATTTCACCAGCTTCATTTTCTTCAAATTCAACAGTATCATCCTTATCATTACTATCAGAACAATTGGTAGATCCATCTGTTGTTAAATTTTGTATTTTCAATGTTGTATAATCTTTTATTTCTTCTTGATATTCTTTCCATTCTTCTTCCAACTAAAAATAAATTACAATTCAATTTCAATAATCACAAATTTAATCCAATTGTAAAGTTATACTCGTTAATCATAAAACTGCTTTGAGAAAAATTTTTAATTTAAAATGCCACTTTGAATGTTTGGCTATATGTAATACAATCTTGGGGGTCAACAAAACCTTCAATCTTAAGAACAATGCAAGTGTATTGTTTTTACATATCTATAAAAACTTACATAAAGACTATAAAATCCTTAAACTTAATAAATTTACAACTACCCATCCTTTCCTGAAAATCCCAGTTAAGTACTTTAATGTAATTGACCAAGAGATCAATTACCAGTAAAATCATAAAAAATAAAATTAAGAAAAATAAAACATCACTATTAAATCAATTTTTGTTAAATAGGGTTACTAGTTGTTTTTTGTTTTAAAAATTTCTGAATGCCATAAATTAGTGAAACATTTTTGAAAAGCTTTTTAACTAACAATCGCAATACATATTTAAAGAAAACATATTCTAAAACATTTAATATTCCAGACACTAAATGTTTTCAAATCACAATTCACTATTTTTTACAAAAACAAAATACACGTATGTATGTAAAACATAAATAAATAATTTACAATTTGTTTAGGTACTTATAACTTTATAGCTTTCATGTACATGTTTATTAAGAGTTGAAAATTATATTTTAGGTAATGAAAGCATATTTTAAGAAACATATAAAAAATTAACATGCAATTAAATTCACATCGTTTTTTAATCTTAATTTTGATTGATTAAAATTGGAGTTAACATAAAAAAAAAAAATCTTACAAATAACTGAAAACTAAATAAGGCAACTTGTAATGAAGAAATAAAAGCAACTTATTCACTGATATTAATCTTAAAAAAAAAATTATACCTCTTGAGATGCATTGTTATCCTTATCTCCAGAGTTGTGAAGTTGTGTTAGATTAGATCGTTCTTTTTTAGATTTTTCCTGCTTCTTTTGTGGTTCATCTAATAAACTAGCCACAAGATGTTCAGAGGTGGTGAATTTTTTGCCCTTGGGTTTCTTACGATCTTTCTTAGCAAAAAAACTGTCTAAATCTGCCATGATCTCGAACTAATGGTTAAAAACTATTATATGTGATATTAATCACAACGATTAATGAACAAAATTACCGTAAGAATGAATTTAATCGTAGGTAAAAAAATTGCTTCAAGAAAATAATTACATATGTGATAAGCGTGTAACGAAGAGTTTCTTAACCTCTTCTTAAAATTTGTACGTTTAATTGCTATCCAGTTGTGTTTGGTATATATGAAGTTGGCAAGTAGTGTATGCAGTCGTAAAAAAAACGACAAAAATTCGAAGATTAAATTGACCTAGCCTCTACCAGTTCTGAGAAGACTATGGGTCTACAATATAAAACGGGTTTTGTAAAGGTGGAAACGTGGAAAACTGTCAAATCACATGTACTACTTAATAAAACGGTAGCCAACCCACGATTTAATAGTTATCACATGTAGCTAAATATTTTTATCTACAACAATATTGGTTAATTTTACCGCGTTTGAATAATATACAGTTGGTATAGTGAGAATATCATATATTAGATAAGATAATGTTATCAATTCTGTTAGAATACCTCCTAAAAGCGTTCATAGAGTGTAGCACATATCAAAATATTTTTAAATTGGTAAATACATTTAATTAGTTTTGTAATGCTTTCAATAAAAACACAACTCAAATAATATATACTAAAAGTGTTAGTATACTTCATTCACTAAAATACAATATAGTTTTTATAATAGTAGATATTTTCATTTCACAAGGGCTGTATTCAGTGTACACCACCACGTAATAATAATATAATAATCCTTATTTTATGGTACTGTAAATACATCGAATCTGTTAATAACAAGATAACACACAACCAAAAAGCGTGTATGTTTACAATATTCAGTTCTCCCAACATTTATATGTTCACCACGTTTGTAAGTGGATAATAGCCATATAAACATAATGTACAGGTATTCATAAAGGTATACGATATAGTCATACAGGTTTATCGGCACAGGTGTATGTGTTTGTTAGTATGTGATTTATAAATCTTTTGCGGTGTGTCGTAGAGGAACTGCTCTACGAGATAATATAGTCAAAAATAACGAAGAAAGATCTTTTTCCTCCTAAAATGATATATTATTATTTGAAATTAAAGTAAGTATAAATTATTTACAAGTTTTTAATTAAAGTTTATTTTAAATTATGTGATTCTAGAAATTTTAAATTAAATCATTGTTCAGTAAACCGTGACCGGGATTTTTTTTCTTTCATTTTTTTAATTAAATTTCATTTGTTTAAATGTTAAATAGTTAATAGATAGTTAACTGTTCAATTCTTATATCTTTTTTTATTTGAAATTTTTCAATATTAATTTTGAAGTTCATAGGGCTTTTATTAAGGGTAATATACTTGTAGAGTAAATATTGTACAAGTGAACCGAACCACTTAAAAAAAGTGAATAATATAATATATTTAGATATTATTATTAGATGTCATTGACTTAAAAATCTATATTATTTTCTGTAATTAAAAATATTTAGTTTAAAAAAATTACTAACGTTTAGTGCATATTTTGATAAACAAATCTTAAAAGCTTTTGTTTATTATGCTATAATCACTTATTAATTTATATTCTAGATGAATACTTTTGATTTGACCAAGCTTAACTATTAATTATTTTACCTACAGCTATGGTTATTGTGACTAGAGTAAGTGTGTTTTTGATTATTATTTTTATTTACTGTTTATACTTTTTGTAATACATTTAATTATTTTGGAAATGTTATAGGGGGATTATATTTGGATTGAACCAATATCTGGTAGAGAATTTGATGTTGCAATTGGTGCCAAAGTAATTTCAGCCGAAGGAAAAAGAATTCAAGTAAAAGATGATGATGGGAGGGTTTGTATATATTACAAATTAAAAAAAAAATTATAACTAAACATGAGTTTTATTTATTCATAACAATAATATGATACTTAGGAATTGTGGCTCACTCCTGAGAGGAGGATTAAAGCTATGCATCCTACCTCAATTCATGGGGTGGAAGACATGATATCATTGGGTGACTTACATGAAGCAGGTATCCTTAGAAATCTACTCATTCGTTATAATGAAAATCTAATTTATGTAAGTTAATTGTTTATTTTTAATACTTTTATTAGTATTATTGCACTGAAATGCCACACAAATATTTTAGCCTTTTTAAATATTTTTTAGACTTATACTGGATCAATTTTAGTAGCTGTTAATCCATATCAAATTTTACCTATTTATACTGCTGAACAGGTAAAGTTGTACAAAGATAGAAAAATTGGTGAGCTTCCACCTCACATTTTTGCTATTGGTGATAATAGTTATACACATATGAAAAGATTTGGTCAAGACCAATGTATAGTTATCAGGTTTGTTTGTTTTGGTAGTTTTTATCTGAATTTATTAAAATTAATTTTTTTTTATTTGAAAAAAAATTGTCTAATTTTAAATATTAAATTTAACAGTAAATATAATGTTATTTTAATAATGGACCTTGATTACTTATTAATATTACAATTTATAATATTTATTATAAAATATAATTATATTAATTAGCTATGGTTTTTATTAAAGTGGTGAAAGTGGTGCTGGTAAAACTGAAAGTACTAAATTAATCTTACAATATTTAGCTGCTATTAGTGGCAAACATTCTTGGATTGAACAACAAATATTAGAAGCGAATCCAATTCTTGAAGGTTAGTATTTCTTATTGGAGATTTTATTATTATAATTTTATAATAATTTAATTTATTTTGATTTTGACAGCGTTTGGTAATGCTAAAACAATAAGAAATGATAATTCATCTAGATTTGGAAAATATATTGATATTCATTTTAATCATTCTGGTGTTATTGAAGGAGCAAAAATTGAACAATATCTTCTTGAAAAATCTCGAATTGTTTCCCAATCACAAGATGAACGGAACTACCATATATTTTATTGTTTACTAGCTGGTTTATCTTCTGAAGATAAAGATAGATTGGAACTTTCTGATGCATCACACTATAAATACCTTACTGGGGTAAAATTATAATATAGTTTTAGTTTTAGTTTTAGTTATTATCGAGGTGGACATAATGCCCATGCACTCAGACTTGTTGGTCCATTGTGCGCACGTCATACCGAATTGTCTTGATTCGGTTTACCCACCTAAGTGTTATCACCAAAGTGTTAATACATTACCAACCATAAAGTCACCTCTAAAGATGACCAAAGAGTCCTGTCTTTCTGGCGAAATTAAGTATCTCTCTGGGTTTTAGGTTTTTAATATCTTCTTTTTCAGGAAAAGGTTTATTCAAGTAGTTTGATCTTAGTGTGGACAAGACTTCACATTCGCACATGATGTGAAATGAGTCTTCCTCTTCTACTCCACACTTCCNCGCACATGATGTGAAATGAGTCTTCCTCTTCACTCTTCACTCAGTCTTCTACTCCACACTTCCTGCACAATGGTGATTCCGATACCCCCATTGCGTTAAGATGTTTAAGCGGGTGACAATGTCCTGTCAGTAGACCAGTCAGGGTGCTTATTTGATGTCTAGTCATGCTATTAAGATCACCCAACAGTAAACCAGGGGTCTTGATAAACATTTTAGATTGTCTAGGTACTACCAAGTACTGCCAGATTTTCCTGTGTTGTTCTTTGCACAGATTCTTGGGTAACGCTTTGAGCGATTGCTCAGTGAGTCCTACCACTGGTTCTGGTTCAACATAGGTGTTCTCTGCTCCTTTCCTGGCTAGAAAGTCAGCATTCTCATTGTCAGTGACACCGCTGTGTCCCGGTACCCACGCTAGTGTAACTTTGTTGAACCTCGATAGTGATTCTAAAGTTTCCCTGCATTCGAGGACCAGCTTTGAATTCACCTGATCGTTACAGAGTGCTTTCAAANTGTTACAGAGTGCCTTCAAAGCCGCTTGACTATCACTTAAGATAGTTATCTTCCTATTTTTGTATACCAGCAGGTTCTGGCCCCTACCAGTATCACCATCACCTCTACTTGGAAAACAGAGGGAAAATTATAATATAAAATATATATCTAATTCAGTGTTATTTATTGTCTTGTTACTTTTATAGGGTGGTAGTATTACTTGCGAAGGCCGTGATGACGCAGCTGAATTTTCAGATATAAGATCAGCAATGAAAGTATTATTATTTTCTGATCAAGAAATTTGGGAAATTTTAAAACTTCTAGCTGCGTTGCTTCATATTGGAAATATAAAATATAAAGCAGCAATAATTGGTAGTTAAAAATTATGGATTTAAAATATTTAACACTAATTTAGACAAGCATGCAATTGTAATATATTTTTATTGAATAATTATTTACAGACAATTTAGATGCTACTGAAATTCCTGATCGTACAACTGTCACTAGAGTTGCCAATTTAGTAGGAGTTCCTGTTCAATCTTTAATTGATGCTTTGACTAGAAAGACTATTTTCGCTCATGGTGAAACTGTGGTATGTATAAATTAATTTTCATAAAAGATGAGAAGTAAAGTATGGAATGGTAGATTTGAAAAATAATTACACCTTAGTTTTGATTCTAATTTGAATTCTATAGATTTTTTGTATAATTCCAGATAATATTTTTACTATAGAGAGCATTTGAAACAAATAATATTTTAATTTTAATCATCTTATGCTAATGTTAATTAATGTATCAAAAATCATTTAAAACCCTTTTAATTTTTTTTCCAGATTTCAACTCTTTCTAGGGAACAATCTGTTGATGTGAGGGATGCATTTGTTAAAGGAATTTATGGGCGATTATTTGTTCATATTGTTAGTAAAATTAACAATGCTATATATAAACCTAAAAGTTCTAAAAGGAGTGCAATAGGAGTTCTAGATATATTTGGTTTTGAAAATTTTAAAAATAATAGGTAAGTAAATATTTTAACATAACATTAATGATATTTCATTTTTAGTTAATTTTACACAATAATCAATTTTGGGTAAGATAATGACAATGATAATAGTTTCAGAAGAAATTATGTCTTTTGAAACTATTGAAAACGTTTAATTTTCATGAGTTCTTAATTTTTAATTTTTAAATAATTTTGTTCTTCAATTCATAATTTTTATTAACCAATCAAACATTCATGTATTATAATATGTTTAAGTTAAGTAATTTGAGATAAATTTGCTAATGATATTCTGCTAAGAATAACAAGTTTCCATTTTATTACGTACACTAGCTTTTATTTATTCCAGTATTATCCAACATGGAAATTTAATCTTTAATAATTGATGTCTATTAATATTTCTTTATACTGAGCGCAAGTTCACTATTGTACATTGTTGTCACCAGTCTGGAAAATTGTATTAAATAAGTCATCAAAAATTAATTTATGGTCTATTAAAATGGATAATTGCATCCTCCGGTATTAAGAAAAATAAATCAATAATGAATTTTTACTTGTAATCCCAATTCTTAAACTATCAATTTTCAAATGATTGAATAAATGAACAAATTATAGGAATAAAATGATTTGTAATTTTTCTCTATATCATAATATCATGCTAGAAAGAATAAAAGAGAATTAAAATTAATGTTTTTTATATCCCTGAAAGGAGTTATTTAAAGTTATTTAAATATAAATTATTTTTTGAACCAAATAATTTTTCTCTTTACAAAAATTAAAAATTTTCAATAGTTTTTGAGACGATGCGTGTCTTACCCAAAATCAATCACCTGGTATACCATTAAATATATAACTTTTTTCTATATGTATACAGTTTTGAGCAATTTTGTATAAATTTTGCAAATGAAAATCTTCAACAATTTTTTGTCCAACATATATTTAAATTAGAACAACAAGAATACAATCATGAACACATAAGTTGGCAACATATTGAATTTGTTGATAACCAAGATGCTTTAGATCTTATTGCCACCAAACAGCTGAATATAATGGCTCTTATTGACGAAGAATCTAAATTTCCAAAGGTTGTACCTAAATTATATCTTGTGAGTATATTTATACATATTGTTTTTAAATCAACAGGGTACTGATCAAACTATGTTGGCAAAAATGCATAAAACACATGGTAATCATAGAAACTATTTAAAACCCAAATCTGATATGAATGCGTCTTTTGGATTAAATCATTTTGCTGGTGTTGTATTTTATGATACTAAAGGTAATTTAAAAGTTAATAACAGACTCGTACTTAGTAGATTTTAGTAGTTATAGTCAAAATGTCTTAAGTGTAGATTTATAAATACTGCATTACTCTTGTTACAAATATCGGATGCTTAAGAAAAAGAATTAAAGTCGTTTATGACCAAGATGAGTTATACTTTATTTTTTATGGTAATTATTTGGAACAATTAATAATAAATTTGTACAAAATATTTTGAACAATTAGATGGGTATATGCGTAATTATTGCAATAAGTAAAAAAAGCTTGTTTTTGAATAAACTTTTTTTTTTTTTTTTGAAGCAGCCAAGAAATAAAGGATTATTTCTTTAATCATATATTATATTTAAAATTTTATTTCAAGTATTATTTTATTAATTTATTTTAAGTGGCCTGAACAGCTTGATTAGGAACACTTTCTGCATTGATACAAAATATTAAGGTTTGATTCTGTACTGCCAAGCTGTACAAGTTTTCCTACCCTCTCTCATATAATAATTTCTCAATTGAGAGGATGTTGAACTTAAATACAACAAACATAGCTTCTTAAAAAAAAAATTAAACACATGTGTTCTATAATATATGTATCTAATATGATTTTTAATAATTAAAAAAAAAATAAGTATAATTACATCAATTTTTAACATAAATACTTTAAAATTAGTAATAAAAATATTATTTTAAAATTCGTGATTAATCAATTTCAATCTATTTTAATTAAAATACTTTTAGCTTCGATGCGAAGCTGAGAAGGTATTAATTTTAGTATGTGTTTTTTTTTTTTTTTTTTTTTTTTTT